CTGCTTAAACTTCTGGAGGAAAAGAGGCTTGCTCCCCTCTGTTTGCTCTTGTTGCTTTTGCTGTCTTCTACCATCTTGAAGAGTTGCCCCTATGCCACGCCACCCTGCCTTGGCATCAGCTGATCACAGACTGAAACCTCCACAAACTGTTAACTAAATAAACTTAATTTGGGATGTTGGGTATTTTGTCTCAGGAACTAGAGAAAAGTAATAAGATGATCACCGTGAATTTGAGACCAGCCTGGGCTACAAAAGCAAGTTCAAGGCCAGCCTGCCCTACATAGCAAGATCCTGTCTCACAAAAAATGAACAAAAGAAAATGTAGCTCAAGCTCCATTGGTTTGCATTCATTTTTTACTGTGAAATTCCTAACCCAACTCCACATGGTTTGGGAGAAACAAACTGGCAGGAAGAAAGCACCCCGGGAAAACTGGACAAGCCATCAACATTATCTGGCATTGTACCCAGCTCCCCTGACCCCACCCCAGAGTTTGATTCTCTGGGGATGTTCCAAGGACCTGCACTTTGGGATGGGCTCCTTAGGTAATATTTGTGCACACCAAAATCTGAGAAGCAAAGTAACTGTGTTAGATTTTTGTATTGTTATTTATTTGTTTTTTCAGACAGTCTCGCTCAGGCTGGCCTCACACTCATGGCCCTCTTTCTGCCTCAGCCTCCTGAGTGCTGAAATTGCAGGTATGTCCCGCCAAGCCCTGCTCTGCATTAGATCTTATAGTCACTAACTGGTTACTATAGATTCCACGTCTACATTAAAAGGAAGGGTTTAAAAGTTGCTTGGAACAGCTTGTAGTTAAAAGTTATCCTCCACAACAATCAGTATTCCAAGGCTATTTGGAAGCTCATTATAAGATTAGTAATTATGTCATGTAAAAAGCTGACATCACATATTATTGCATAGTCTTATATCCATTAGGGTGTTTAAGAGGAATAACCAGCAGCTCTTTTTACAGATACCCACTGGACGCCAGACAAACCCCTCGGGGTAGAGACACACAAGCTGAATGGAGCCTGACATAATCAGGACAATTGCATTATGAGGCCTGATTTTGTTTTGCTTTGTGGGATCTGATGCTGAGGCCCAGCAAATTAAGCTGTAGCAGAATGTACTGTATAACGGACAAGGAGCAGGGCCTCCTTTAAATTTAACATTCTGACTTCATTAAAAAATTTTCATCCCAGCAATAGAACATACTGTGAAAAAGAAATCACAGAATGACATAAAGCAACCTCTCTGTCATCTGGGAGGCTATATTTAGAGTCATCTCTCGATGTTTCTGCACCCCTGGGACTGTGGGAAAGATTTTCCTTTTCATTATGCAACACGATGAGCAAGAACCAAAAATCGAAGACAGGCAGTTTTAATATTTTTTGTTAACACCATATTGTCAAGTGGTAGAATGCCAGCCATGAGAGAGAACGGGTAAAAGAGAAACCTGTTGTCCATATGCTGTAGGATGAGTAATAATTTCACGAGGGCAAACAAGGGAAGAGGGGGGCTGAAAACCAGGAAATCCATGAAAGATAGCATCTCAGGCAGCCCAGTGGCTACCCAGAGACAAAGGTTCACATTACAGCCGCCATCCACAGGGCTTCAGAGCCCTGTCCCCGCCAGAAAGGCTGCATCCTGAAACATTGGACATGAATAGTGAGAGCCACTAGGCACTGACGTATTTTCACTTTTTTTTGGAACTGGGAATTGAACTGAAGGACCTTGTGCCAGCCAGGCAGGTTCTGTGCCGCAGAGCTATAGCCCCAGCTCCCTTTCTCTTGTCTTTTATTACCTCCGATCTCTGCCATGATTCCTGGGTATATTTATTCATCTTGCAAATGAAGGCCAGAGACAGTACCTTGCCTCAGCTAAATAATGTCAAGTTGGAACCCAGCTCCAGCTCCTCCGTGTTTCCCTGCTTTATCCATTCCCCTTCTCCACCTCCCTCAGATAAGAGTGGCACATTTACACTATTGAATGGGATGCCTATCCAAATGGGATGCCCAGGAAATGACATCAGAAGGCTCAGGAACCTTTGCTGAAATTCAGCTTTGGAGGCACCAGTCCAGCCCACAGAATCTGTTGTCCACGTAGGTCCCACCAATCTACATGTTAGCAGGTTTCCCCAATGATGCTTCTGCAACTCCAAGTCTGAGTGGAACCCAGAAACAGCCCGGATCCGTAGACGGAGGAGTAGCTGCCCTTAATACTTTTACAAATGAGTCTCGGAGAGCAGCCCCCACAAAACACACGCAAAACATTCTCCCGCGTCGTCAGCAGCACATTGTGAAATCGCAGTCTGGCTTCCACCTGGCACTCAGGGTACTTCTGGGCCATCCCGCTTTGTGATCAGGTGGTATTTACTTGGGGAATGAAATCTTCATATTAACATAAGCAAAACATAATTAGAAAAATCTGTTATAAAAACCATGCTGCTTTCCAAGCCAAATATAAATGACTTTGGGGTAAAGCATGCCAGGAATTCTACTTTGTTAGCTGTGTAATTAAGAGTGACTGTCATGCCAATTGCTGTTACTGTCTAGTTTTCTTAATTGTTTGGATACCTGTGCCCCGCATCCCCCCTTCCCCCACATACTCACCATGTATGTATAGTTTGAAAGAGCTGCCACAAGGGTGATGTTACTCATTTTTTTATTATTATTCATTTTGATGACAGGTACAAAGTGCCTGCTCTCCCAATCCATTCTCTGCCCTTGTCAGTGTGCTCTGGGCTGCAGGGTGACCCTAAGGATTATGTCACCACCTGGATCCCCTCTGCCCTCCAGATTCTGGTTGGGGTTGAGTGATGGGAAGAACTAGCAAGGGACAGAGAGGCCGAACTTTCCTCTTTGGTGTTCTTGGTTTCTTTTATGGCTGCAGGGCACCAGCGCTCACACAGGTATCTGTGAGTGATGATTTCCTGCTGCTGCTGCTGCTGCTGAGTCCCCGGCTGGGTCTCCTGACTCTGCCCGCACTTTGGTAACTGACATCTTCATCCAGAACTCTGAAGTGAGCTGGGCATGGTGGCACGTGCCTGTAACCCTTGCACTTGAGAGACTGAGGCAGGAGGATCATTGCTAGTTCAAGACCAGCCTAGGCTACAAAATGAACCCAAGGCCAGCCTGAACTGCATAGTGAGACTCTGTCTCAAAAAGACAAAAGTAAATGAAAAATAAAGGCCTCTGAAGGTGTCACCTCCAAGCATGTCCCTTCACACTCTTGGGTGATGTGCCAGGACGGAATGTCTGTTTGCTTTACAGTGTCATCTTACAAATAATCACTCAGTTAACATGACTGTGTTTGTTTTCAAATATCTGAATGTATCTATCTATCTATGCACACTAAAAATATTAAAGAATGACAACCTCCCCCCTCCCACTTTCCTAAGGAGGAAACATTTTGTGGGTTCCATTGATGGAATGGATAGAAGTGAGAAAAAGAAAAAACAAAGTCTACATTTGACTTTATGAGGCGGGGACTCTGTGAGCTAAGCGTGATCACAGGGAGGAAGGGTGGAAGGCAAGGAGAGAGAGAGAACAGCAGTGTGGACGCAAGTGTGGGCTGCTGTTTTGTGGAAGAAAGGGCAACGGGGCCCTTAAAAAAACCTTTCTGTGTGTGATTCTGGATGGATTTCCTCTCATTACTGCCCGTGAAGACTTTCAGTTACGGCCGGCCTTGGTGGTGCACATCTGTAATCCCAGCTACTCGGAAGATTGGAGGGAGGAGAAACCTAAATTCGAGCCCAGCCCGGGCAACTTAGTGAGACCCTGTCTCAAAATCAAAAGGGCTGAGGCTGTCGTTCCATAAGAGTGTTTGTCTAGCAAGCGCCAGGCCCTGGGTTTTCCTTAATACAGAAAAATACATGACGCACAGCTAAAAACATTGCGTTTCTTTTTAAGGCGGTGGAGTTGTTTTGTTTTGTTTTTGCAGTACTGAGGATTGAACTCAGGACCTTCACACTGATCCACCTCCCCAGCCCTTTTGATTTTAAAAAAGATTTTTTTTATGCTGAGTCACTAAATTGCCCAGATTGGGCTAGAATTTGTGATCCTCTTGTCTCAACCTCCTAGAGTGCTGGGATTAGAGATGTGTACTACTGTGCCAGGTTTAGCTGTGAAGTTTTGAAATGTGTCATCAAGTTCTTTGAAATTTTGCTCATCAAAAGGAGAAGGCTCATTTCTGTGCCCTAAAAAGTGCTTTGAATGAAAACCAGTAAAAGTGATTTCAGTGGCTACGGAGGAAAAGTCATAAAAGGTAACCTGACTTCCCCTTTGTGTCCCCACCCTTCTGCCTAAACCAGCCACTGTGCAGTGAGGAAGCCTGCTAGTCACAAGGAAAAATCACACCCAGGTGTCCCAGCCAAGCCCTGCCACCCAAGGTCCCAGCTGAGCACCCAGCTGAGCACTAGAGGAGTGAACCTCCGGTGGCCCAGTGTAGTAGTTAAGTGTAATTGTGTCAGGGGCCAGGGATTTAGCTCATTGGCTCAAGGGCTTGCCTGGGGAGGTAAGGTCATGAGTTCAAACCCCGGTACCAAAAAAAGCTTAATTGTGCTAACCTGATTGGCCTGGGAGTTGCCTAGATGGTTAGTAGAGCATACTGCTAGGTGTGTTTGGGTGGGCCTTGGAGGTGTGATCCTGGGGACTGTTTCTGATCCCTGGCACCTTCATCTTTGGCACTGTTCCCCTGTGCTGTATTCTGGTTGCCACAAACTAAGCAGTTTTGTTCCCCCATGCCCTCTTGCCATGATGCTGCTGCAATGGAGCCCAATAACCATGGACTGAATCCCCTGGAACCGTGAGCCAAATAAAACCTTTCCTCCTTTAAATTGTGCATGTGGAGGGGGGTATTGAGTCTCAACAATGGCAAAGCTGATTAATACCCAGCTGCCAGCCCGCACACACACTCAGTGGAGCTGAACACAACTGAAACAAGCTGCTTCTAGCATGCCTTGCCCAGAGTGAAGGTTTCTGAACAAACTAAATGCTAGTTTTTAAAATATGGAATCTTCATGCATTTGCATGTCATCCTTGTGCAGGGGCTAGGCTAGTCTTTTCTGTATCATTCCAGCTTTAGTATATGTACTGCTGAAGCCAGCACTGTGCTATTGTGTTAAAATTTGGGCAGTTTGTTACACAGCATTGGATGATGGGTGAAAAGATTATACAGTCACTCTTATGCTCTGTAAACTGGCCTAAAAGGGTTCAGGCTTATCTCTAACAAGGCAGTGACTTGGAGACTATATTTGTATCCACTTAGCCTTAGAAAAATCCTCCACCAGGAGACCTATATGTGTAATATTAAGACTGATACTATGTACCTAACATGTGGGAAGGGCTTAATAAATACAGAGTATTTTTGCATGAGGAGTGGGACCCAAGGGACCTTTTAGTAGTACAGACCTTGGGGGCTGGAGCTGCCAAGGCTCTTGTCTGGCTCCGAGCCTGGATAAATGGATGTGACAAGTTGGGATCTAAACTCATTAGAGACAGGAATGAGTTCAGCAAAGATCTCTATGTATGAGGAAGGGAAATGTGTTTAAAACCTGGGAGTAGAAATTTCCAGAAAGAAAAGTGTGTTTCTGGTAGCAGAATATCTTATGCACTGTGGCATTTGTGAAATGATAACCCCAAAGCCCAGCCAGGGAAAATTCTGAAAGGAGAATCAACAGTGTCCAGAGGAAAAGGATTTTGGTGAGTGCTGAGGAGGGGACTCAGGGAAAGTCACTTGCAGAGAAGTCCTTGGTGGGCAGGTGACTGAAGACTTGGAAGGAAGAAGCTACACATGTTGTTACATGTAGGTGGTGTGACCGAAATACAGAGTGAGCATTTATTTTTTTAAAATTTTTATTACAATACAAGACCCATTGCTGCAAATCCCCCAACATCAAATATGCTTATCCCATCATTCTTGCCCCTTTCTGAAGCAGCTCTGGAAGTCCTCTTTCATAAGTTTCTTTAGATGCACGTTAGATGCAGAATGGTGATCTTTCAGGGTCATTGCAACGTTGGAGAAGAGTCAGAAGCTGCACAGTGCTGGATCCGGTGATCAAGGTAGCTGAGGACGCACCATGGTATTTCACGTGACATAAATCGCTACAAATGTTTTGAATCAATTTAGAACACCAAGGCAGCCACCCACTAAAGAGGACTTCCAGAATCACTGCACACAGCGGCAAGGCCAATAGAGTCCATGTGTTTAAAGTGTGTGTGTGTGTGTGTGTGTGTGTGTGTGTGTGTGTGTGTGTGTATTTTCAGGGGAATCTGTGGCAATGTGTCATTCACTGTAAAAGTGTTTAAATTTTTAATCTGAATGTTCACCCTACTTTTTGATCACACTGAGTGTACTCTGTTCACGGACCCATACCCGGGGTGGACCATCCCTAGGGCTTTGCTGACCTGGTGACATTTTTACAAATTCCTGGAGGACAGTTCCTCCAAGCCTGGGCACACACGTGTGTGTGCATGTGTGTAGATGAGTGTGTGTACATGTGAGTGTGGTGTCAGATCAGTCTTTATCCCCTTCAAGGTGTAAGCCTTTTTCAGACGAAGGCTAGAGAGCACTTACTTCCTGAGGTGACCTTTCCATGCTCCCCACCTGGGGGACATTGGTGATGTTGGGGGTGGGAGTGCTCCTGACATTCAGCTGGCAAAGTATGGGGATGCTGTCAGGCAGTGCTGGGGCGGTCCCACCCCCACAGAATGCTTGGATCCTCTCAACAATGGGGTAGGATCCCCAGAAGTGATGTGGGGGGAGAGCAAGGAGGAGTGTGGCTAGCACTGGCCGGTCCAGCCATGGGCACGCAGGGGCCTTCAGGAGCAACCTGGCCTCAGCCTTGCACCTGAGCAGGAAGGAGTCCCAGAGAAGGCCCATGAGCAGCACAGACGTCTGTCTGTGGCCTTGGCAGCCACAGAATGTGTGAAGAATGTGGTCATTTGTACAACAGCTTCGTGAGATGACAGCAGGTGCTTTTTGAGGGTTTAGGTGAGCACCAGGAATATTTATCACTGGTAGGGTTTCATTTGCATCAGAGCCTTTGCACTAAACTATATCCCCAGCCACTCACCCCTCCTTTTTTTCTGTTGCGGCAAAGTCTCCCTAAATTGCCCAGGCTGGGTCTGGAGCTTGCCATCCTTCTGCCTCAGCCTCTCAGAGTGCTGGGATTACACTAGTAAGTCTTTTCATCCCTGTAAGGAGGTTGAGTTGACCCAACAATCTTGTTGGCAGATCTTTACTGGCTTTGTTTTTGACTCTAGAATCAGGCGTCCCAGGACTGCCCTGCTGGGCTGAGCTTCGAGGTTGGCTTCATAGACAGAGAAGCATTGAAAAAATACAAAGAACAAAAAGACAACCAGCCATTTCAGAGTCACTTTCCTTACCTGGTGTGGCTGGGGAGACAGAGGGACACAGAATAACTGATTGGTTAACATCCGGTTACTTTTTTGTGAGGCTTACAGCAGAGTGACTTCATTATTAGACAGGCTAAAACTCAAGCTGTTGGGGAAACCTAGTCTATCCCCCCCACCCCCAACTCTGGGTACTGGGGATTGAACCCTTCCTCCCTGACTTATGTCTCCAGGCTGGCTGAAACCCATTGAGCGCTCCTGACCTCTTAACTGGTGGTCCAGCCTCAACTAATCCCTCCTTGACCTCAGCCAACCCAACTAGTCCTCCTGGCTCCCTGCAGTCCCTGGGCCCCAAGAAGCACCCCATCATCAAAGTTTTCCACAGTTTCAGCTTGACGTGTGGCTTTCCTGAGGGTGTTGCTCCTGCCCACACCTCATGGGTAGGGCCTGCTTAAGGCAGGGAAGCCCAGCTTGGGGTCCTCCCCCATGCCTTGATGGAACTTTTTCTCTGCATTCTTCAGATAATCTCTGCAGCACTCTTTCATGTTACCTGTTCTCAGGGACAGGAAAGTGATCACTTTCTATGACCTCTGGCTCGAGCTTGGGCTTTGATGGAACCATCACAACCACTAGGCAAATTTAATTCCCCACTCTACAGACAAGAAGACTGAGGCTCAGATGCCAGGCTCAGCAGTGCATGCCTATAACCCCTGCACTCCAGGTGAGGCAGGAGGATCATTGTGAGGTTGAGGCCAGCCTGGACTACATGGCAAAACCCTGTCTCAAAACCAAAACACCAAACAACAAAAAGAAGACAAGCTCAGAAAGGTCAAGTAATCTGCACAAGGCTGTGTTTTCAAGAGATTAGGGACAAGCTGTTCACCTTCATTCTGTCTGATTTAGAGCCACAAACAACCCCAGCCCCATCACTTCCGCTGGCCCCACACACGCTGTGAACTCATTGATAGCTGATTGGTTCATGGAGGCTTGAATTGCACATACCCAGGCTGGTGTCTGAGACCAGCCTAGAATGGCATGGACTGGATCCCAACCGGATGTCACTGTCTCCACCCGAACTCCACATGCCAGTGTGAGCCATGCCAGCTCCTGAAGCGGGGCGTCTGCGGAGGTGGGAGCCACCGCTTGCAGGGTAATGGGGCTCTCTGTTGGAGGGCAGGCTCGGAACTGAGCTGCTACTGTTGTGCAGAAAGCTTCTGGGCCTCTCCACAGCCGGGTATCCATGGAAATTAGACGGTGGATAAAAAAGGAGCTATTTTAGGGCCCTGTGGAGAAGACAGCACCTGGTAGGCTGGGGTTGGGACAAGTGGCGTGGGAGAGAGCTTTTCTGAATGACTCTTTCATTTTCTTCCTGCAAGGTAGGAAGCAATAGCACAGGCGGCTGCAGCAGGGGGCTAGGGGAAGGAAGGAGGAGCTGTCAGGGCTACCTTGTCCCCTCCTGGCCATGGAGCACCTGTGGAGGGACTGGGCAGCTCTGTGATAGGAAATCTGCAGCTTTCAACCAGCCATCGCGTGGTCACTCAGAGAGGGAAACTTCTGCTTCCTACAAGTGACCATGGCTGTGGTCACCAAGGGGCGGGGATTGGTGGATTCATCGCAGGGACAGGGCCACCTTGGGAGGACAGTCAGGTGATCAGGAGGTGGCAAGGGCTGGTTCCTCTTCCTGTGGCCTAGCAGGAGACCTGGGCATTTGGGAGGCAGGGTTGTTAGGGAAAGAGGATGGTAAAAGTGCCAGTCAGAGAGAGTTCAGGAACCAGGAAGCCCAGAACCAAGGGAGACTGTTTGGGGCACTTGGGTCAGGTCCAGAGGATGAGACGAAACTGTTTACATTGTGACGTTTCCAGTTTGGGGTATCAAGGGACCCCAGTCATTCATGCATATGCACAGCCTGGTTTCACAGCCTGTCTCAGACAGTGGGGACACAAGGACAAGGGCATGGTGACTGCTCAGGTGAAGAGAGCACAGAGTGTGATAGGGAACAACAGACACAGCCCACATGGCTGACCTCTGCTTCTTTCTCCTGGGGACCTGCAGGGACAGTGGGCAGGGCCCAGGCATGTGCTCATTTTGACTTCTTTGCAGTCCCTGTGGGTGGCAGCTGGCAGCCCAGCATCCCAGGGACCACAAGCACCAGTGACCCAATCCTGGGTATCCCCAGCTCCCCTCAGGGCGCAGATAGGAGCTCTTAGCACAGGTCACAGGGTGACCTGTGTTCTATTGGGTCCCATTCCTAGTTAGACCAGGATGCTGAATGGCAGGGGCGGCTTCCACCTGCATTGGAGCCAAGCTTCCAGCGGGCTCTCAAGCCCTGCCCCACGGGTTCCTGAGAGACCATAGCACCCTGCGAGCAGCACCAGGCAGTCCTGATGCTGGACTCTTGACCTGTGAACCCAGTGCCTAAGCATGGTTGGCACATAATGATTTTCTCTGTGGAGATGGGTTGATCAAATTTCCATTTTTCAGGGGACAGGGTTTCACTATGTAGTTCAGGCTTGGCTTGAACTATGTAACCCAGACTGGCCTCAGATTTGGGATGATCCTCCTTCCTCAACCTCCTTAGTGCTGGAAGTAGAGATGTGCAACACACCTGGCCTGATCTGTACTTAAAAAAGTTCAGTGGTACCGGGTGTGGTGGCACATATCTGTAATCCTAGCATTTGGGAGGCTGAGGCAGGAAGACTGCTGTGAGTTTGAGGCCTGCCTAAACTGCATAGTAAGATCCTGCTTTAAAACAAAAACAAACCAAACCAAAAAACCCCACAAAACCCAAAAAACTCCAAAAGCCTGGAGAAATTTGGGGTCTGCAGGACACTTAATGGACACTGGGTAGCTGCTGGGTGCTTGAATGGAGGAAGCGACACTTACCTTGTCCTTGTTCATGCTGAACTTTAAACTAGCTCCCTGAGACCCTGTGCCACGGGATCCCACCTTCCCATGTCCCCAGCAATCTCCCCCTGACCCAGCTGCTCCTCTGCAGGGCAGAAATCAGCCCAGGTATCCACATGTCTGGGGGAAAGAGCCACACAGCCAAGTGAGAAAGGCACAGTTTATTGGTCACACAGACAGGACAGTGGGCACGTGGGGTGCATACCTACCATCTCACTCTCACACATTCCAGATCAAGAAGCAACATGAGAAAAGATACCAACAATCTACTACCTACTAACTAAGGGCTGAAGGCCATGGAGCCTGAGACTGAGAGGCTGCAGGAGCCTGGTGGCACTGGCCACCTTGGGCAGTGGATGGGAGCCCAGCATGTGGAACTAGCAGGGCCTCGGCCATCCTGACCCCAGCGTGAGGCCGCGGCGCAGGCTGCTGCTCCTGCTCAGGGAGATCCCTGCTCCCCATGCGGCTGCACAGGACCCCTGCCTCGGCTGAAGTAGCGTGAATCATGGGAGCTGGCCTGGGACCAAGCCCTGTGCCCCAAGAGTCGCTCATATCCTCTGTGTCCCTTGCAGCCACTTCTTGCTCCCAAGGCTGCCAGCCTCTTAATGCTTTGCCCAAACCCTCAGGACGCCCGGGCCTGGGCACGTGGTTCTGCATGGCTGGAGCCTCTGCCCTGGACGCTGTCCCCACACAATGTCCCTAAAGCACTTAGTGATGCATGTGGCACAGGCCGACTTCTCAGCCCAGGCTGCCACTATTATTATTAATATTATTATTATTATGTATATCTCCATCCCCGGATTGGCACTTCAGGTGTCTCCTTCAAAATGGTGACCCGAACAAGACCCCGGGGTCCCAAGTACCAAGGCCACGCTGGGGACCCAGCGATGCAGCCGTCGTCTCAGGTGGGCACCTTCCTTCTGACCGCAGTACCTGCTGCCCAGTGTCACAGGCAGTGTACTCCGTGGGCCACATAGAAGTGAGGCCCTTTTCCGAAAAATGCAAAGGTTTGCACAGGAAGCGAGGTAGGGGAACCAGAAGGAGGTCACGGGAGAGGCTTCCCTTCTGAGGCTTCTGCTGCTCCTCTGGGCTCCTGTCACTGGCACATCCCCCAGGGCGTCACTGCTGGATGACAAAGGAAGGGTTGTCAGGGACCCCCCAACTTGATGACCACAGGTCGCTGCTTGCCAAGGGCCAGCCAGCTTCCTGTGGCATGGGAGGAGCTCTGTTCTGAGCCCTTAATACATGCAGTGCGATCAAAACTACAGTGAGTGCTGGACCACAGTAATAGATGTTCCTATTCGTCCTCCTCAGACTCCCCCCTCCTGCTTCAGACACACTTAGGACGACACTTGCCACTTCCGGGAGTGGCTCTGGAAGTGCTCTTTCGTGAGGGTCTTTAGTTGCTCTGTCCTGGGCGCCTCTATGTCCTGAATCAACTCAAAACATCCACTTTTTATGGTCATTCTGACTTTGGGTGAACAGTCAGGATTTTCATAGTGAATAAGGCGGAAGAGGACACAGAATCTCACTCACAGGAACCTACCTTTCTGTTGGATGAAAGCATTCACTGTATTTCTGACCACATCTCACAAAGCCACTCGCTCAAAACAAGGGCAAGTATTTTGAGGGACATTACTGGCAATGTGTCCTTTTATTTTTAAACATTCCCCATAGTTTTGATCAGGCTGCCTATTCTCATAAACATGTATTATATAATCCCAGTATTCAGGAGGCTGAGGCAGGAGGATCATTGCAAGTATAAGGCCAGCTTGTGTTACAAAGTGAGCTCAAGGTCGGTCTGAGCTGCATAGTGAGATCCTGTCTCAAAAAAAAAAAAACAAAAAAAACAAAAAAAACCCCAAAAAATCTAACTAACCAAACGGCATGAAAGCCCAAGTACTGATACATAATACCACACGGCACAATTCAGTTCTCCTGTAAGACAGATGCTATTAACAGTCCCACTTCACAGAGGTGTAAATGCAGCCACAGGGCACAAACAGAAAGCAGGAAACCTAGGATTCAGAGCTAACACTCAATTCCCTACTCTGGTTTTTAGGTTACTTCATTTTTTTATCGGCATTGGGGATTGAACTCAGAGACTTGTGCACACACTAGATATGCACCCCAAGTCTGTTCTGAACCCCACAGTTTTGCTCCAAAAGAAATCTACTTTGTGAGGAAGGGCTCTGGGATGTTTTCAGCACACACACTCACAGAGTAACCTCTGGGATGGGAACGTGCATGCACACATGCACACACACTCGTGGACACACTCACCTGCATGGCCGTCCTGCCCAGCAGCCCCTCCTCAGGCCGGTGCTTGCCATGATGTGGGAGCTCGGAGTTGTCACGGTAGTCACGGCTCTTGGCGTGCTGCAGCTGCAGAACCGCTGGGCTCTTGACTGGCAGGGGTGGCCGGGGTGCAGGTGTGGGTGTGGACTGCTGGCTCACCTCCGACCGGGATGGCTTGATGGGCCGCTTGGCCGGCACTGGGGCCTGAGAGCTGGCAGGGCCCTTGGGCTTCCCCTGGCCCCTGTCCCCACTAGTGGCCTTGCCTTCGGTGGAGGCCGAGCAGGTGAAGGAGCGGAGCCGGGGTGTGGGGCTGAGGAAGGTCGTGGGTGCCTGTTTGCCTGGACCCTTGCTACCCTCGGCCTCTGGGGCTTTGGAAAAGGAGATGCTGGGCTCTGGGCAGGGTGTGGGCTCCTTTCGTAGCATCTTGGGGGACTCCTGCTCTTTCCTGGGGACCAGCTTGGGGAAGGCGCTCACAGAGCCGTACAGTGGGTTCTCAAACATCTCTGGCTTGCTCAGCAACAGGTCCTCCTGTGGGGCTTCAGTCGAGCCCTTCCCCTGCTCGCTAGGCCTAGAGGTGAGGGGAGGAGACAAAAACAGGTTCAGTGGACAAAACAGGTTCAGAATCAGGAATGAGGGGTGCCAAGTGGCTGCTTTGTGGGACTGGGCTTTTGTCTAGGATGATCAAAAATGTTTTAGAACCAGTCTAGGGTGATTGCATGTAATACCAACAACTGGGAAGGCTGAGGCAGGAGGATTTTGAATTCTGGGCCTGCCTGGGCAAGTTATTGAGATCTGCTTCTCAAAATAAAAATTAAAAATAAAAATAATATTGGACGTGAGCCAGGTGTGGTGGCATGCACCTGTAATCCCAGCATGCAGGAGGCTGAGACAGGATAACTGCTGAGTTTCAGGCCAGCTTGGGCTGCATGGTGAATTCAAGGCCAGCCTGAACAACACAGTGAGACCCTGACTCAAAAAAAGCCAAAACGAGAAATAAAAATGATTGAAAGATGTTTTAGAAACAGCTAGAGGTAGGCACTATACTACAATAACATCGTGAATGTACCAACCACCACCGAATCGTTTTGAAATGGTTCTTTTTGTGTTCTATGCTTATGACATCGATAAAAAAGTAATAGAGACACGCTGGCACTGTGTTACCCACATCCTCACTGCACTGCTTGGTTAGGATTCATAGATGCAACAAATAGGCTTTGTTCTCTGGAGGGTTTGCCAGGGTGGACACCAGCAGACCGGTGACAAGGACACTCACCTGGACTCTTGCACCCTGGGGCAGGGGCCCCTGTTTGCTGAGGCAGAGGTGAACTTCTTGGGTGACAGCGGTGGCTGGGAGGGTGGGGTGGGAGGACTGTCCCCTCTCCCTGGCCCCAGGGAAGGGTCCTTGGGCTGTGGGTCATAGCTCCAGGCCGGGAGTGGCTGGTCCGGCAAGGGGGACATGGGCAGCTTGGCAGTCACGGGCTGCCGGACGGGAATGTAGCTGGGATTCATGATGTCTGTGAGGCCGAAGGAGGCCCTGCAGGGAAGAAGAGGCACAGGTCAGGACGTGTCCTTTCACCATCACCCCGGGGTTTGGGAAGGGCCCTCCGATGTCCCTCGGCCCCTCAGCTTGGACCAGGGTGAGGTGACCCCATAGTGACACAGCATGCGGCCTCCGCGCTAGCAAGGATCTCATGAGAAAGAAGAGGTCAGTCAGGGCCCAGGGGTCTCCTGAAGACCCCTCATGGCCCATAGCTGCACCTCAGCCAACACTAGGGTCAGCTCAGGGGACACAGGCTTGTCCCCATTCTACTCAAAGGAGTGAGACTCCACTAGCAACCATGGACACTCAGCCAGGACGCATGGGGCAGTGGGAAGGAGGCCGACAGGGAGGACCTCGGCGCTCAAAGCTGTGACCAGCAGCAGCAGGCTGTGGACCCAGAAAGGACTGGGAGTGTTGTTGGGTGGCAGTCTGTGGGTACCAGTGGCCCCCAGGTAAGCCAGCATGGCGACCAGACCCTCACTGCCTTGACTTGGGAACTCAAGAGACCAGCAACCTAAGGAGACCCTGTTATTTTTTTGTTTCTTGAGGTAGGGTCTCACTATGTAGCCCAGGCTGGCCTTGAGCTCCTAGTGATCCTCCCGCCTCAGCCTCCCCAGTGCTGGGATTATAGGTGTGCACCACCATGCCAGCTGTACCTTGTTACTGGATGCTGCTATCTTTCTGTACCATGGACTTTAATGTCTGGGTTACTCCCAGTTCGGTCTCTATCAGGAGCAACTTAGGTGTGTTTGAGGCCAAGGACTTCTGACCGCCGATATCCCTGGCATATAGATACCACTGTGACCTTGGAATCGCCCCGTGTCTCAGCAGCCTCTTCCTGGACCACTTGTCCTTCCATTGGTGCACAGTGAGTTCCCAAGTTGTGCACAGCACCTAGCTTGCCTTGGTTTCTCTGGCACCCAAACAACAGGTGCTCCATAAGTGCAGGCTGAGCTGAATCGAGCCTCCCAATATGGAAGAACCTCCCAGGCTTTGTCCTGGGCACCGGGACCTTTCCAGAGAGGCTGGTCCGAGGTCTGAAGATTAGAGCCAAGGGCAGGAGAGAACTCTCTTGTGTGGGGCAGGAGCTGCCTTCCCCTGACCTCTGCCTCTCCTGGGCCCTGCTCTGCATGGCCGAGCTGCTGTGCGACAAGCCCCAGGTCCTGCCTTACCTGCCAGCCGGCTCCCACTGCTTCACAGGGTCCTGGATGGTGAGGCTCTTTGGGCACTTGGGCCCACTGGGCTCATCTCGCTCTGTCTTCACGAAGTCTAAAAGGAAAGGGCCAGGAAAGAACATATGAGCGCCTGGCTCCAGAGTTTGGGTCAGTGATGGCAAAGTGGCTGGTAAACTGTAGCTACTTGGGGAAGTGTTTTAAGCAAGAGCCTGAGGCCTCCATTCAGTAATTGATTAGTTGTGCCTGCCATGGCTTCAGGAGTTTGGTGACTGATTATTTATGCCTGCCATGATTCTAGAAAAAGCAGAACTGGTATGTATGACACAGAGTTATTATTTCATGTGACAGGCCTACCTCACTGGTTTCAGTAAGGGACAATACAGTAAACATTGCTTATCAGATGAGAACAAAACAAAAGTAAACAATAGCTCCAAAACAGCATTTGGTACTCAGGGGGCAGCCTGTGCAGCGGTTTTAAGGGAAACTGGAACCTTGTCTTCATTTTCAACTCTTGTTTATGGCTGCCAAGGTGCCAAGTTTCATCACTCCACCTCACTGTGCTGCTGGAGAAAGATGCTCTCATAGGTCAAAAAGGAACCAGATTCATAGAGACAGCACGCAGGTAGCACTGCATGAACCTCCAAGCTCACTTTGGCCTGACCACTGACTAGGAACATGACCTGTGGCCAATCTCTTAGCCTTGCTGTGCCTCAGTTTCCCTTTTTGCCCAACAAAGACAATCACACAGGGCTGTTGTGAGAGATAAGTGAGGTGACACATGTTTGTTTTTGGTTTTTTTTGTCTTTTTTCCTTTTTATCGGTACCAGGGATCGAACTTACGACTGCCTGCTTGCAAGGCAGGTGCTTATGCCGCTGAGCTAAATCCCCAGCCCCCGAGGTGACACATGTGAGACGATCACTTTATATGTCATTAAGCCTGTGGTTAAAGCCCAAGCCATTCTAGGCATTGTTGCTTCAGTGCTCAGCAGGGAGTTAAAGTGAAGGCGGCAAGGAAAGAAAAAGAAAATCAACTGCTGCCTGTGGAAAAGGAAGCAACATTTGGTTAACAACTTCGGGAAAGCTCTTTATCTCATACAGAGGTTTAAGGGGAAGCATCCATGTGGATTTTCAAGTTTTGAAATCTGAGGGTAGACGTAGGAGACAAATCCAGCACACTGTGTTCTCCCTGTGTAAGTAGGTCTCCTATGGCATCGATGGGGGAGACAGTCCGGGCTTTCCTCACAGAGGGTCAACCACTGTGGCTATGTTGTCCAATGTGGCTGCACTGCGTGCATGTGCGCCTGTGTGTGTGAGTGTGTATTGCTGAGGATTGAACCCAGAGCCTCAGCATAGGAAGCAAGTGCTCTACCCCTGAGCCACACCCCCAGCCATAGCGTCATTTTCTGGGGCAGCCATATGAGGTAAGGAAGTAATGTTTAAGAGGATGTAAAGAGCAGGGGATTTAGCTCAGCAGCATAAGTGCTTGCTTGGTAAGAATAAGGTCACGAGTTTGATCCCTGGTATAAAGACTTGAGGTCAAGTTGAGGAGGTGCATAGGACTTCTAGGTGCAAATGATGGGTGACAGTGCCTTGGAAGGCAATTATTTAAAAGGAGTATTGGTGATGTCCAATCCTCAGCCACCCCACTGCACCTCATTTTTTTGAGACACTTTTTTTTTAGTCTAAGTCACTAAAGCTGCTCCTGAATTGTGATCCTCCTGCCTCAACTTCCCAGAGAGCTGAGATTACAGGCATGTGCCACTACATGTGGTTTAGACAAAGTTATTGATAAAGACAGGATGGGTCAGGTTGCCTGAGCTTCTTTTCACCTGGGTTCAGCCCTGAGACCAGTGGAATGCTGGCCAGCAGAAACCACATGCCTGTCCCTAACATATCCAAGGGCTGGGAGGGACCGAGGGCTGACTTACCGTACAGCTTCTCTCTCTTCTTGCCCTGGGAGGTCTGCAGCTTAATGGCTCCCCGGAAGTGGCCCGTCATCTCTCCATGGTGGGTGAGTGGTGTGTAGATGGGCAGCTGGGTTTCCGTGGCTTCCAGCCGAAGTGCAATGCAGCCCTCACCTGGAAGGGAGGGAGGTGACAGCAGGGTCAAGACCCAGGCATCCATGGGGAACAAGGAGCATTAGCTTAGAGACTGAACTTCACATTGAAGATAGCGCTCAAAACAATGGCCCAGCCAGGTGTGGTGGCATATGCCTGTAATCTCAGCCCTGGGGAGGCTGAGGCAGGATGATTGAAAGTTCAAAAACCAGTCTGGCTACAAAGTGAGCTCAAGGCCAGACTGAACTGCATTGTGAGATCCTGCTTCAAAAAGACAAAAAAAAAAAAAAAAAAAAAAAAAAAAAAAGGAAAGAAACCAATGGACCAGCTGGGCATGGTAGTGGACACCTGTAATCCTTGTACTGGGGAGGCTGAAGCAGGAGGATGGCCCTGAGTTTGAGGCCAGCCTGTAGTACATAGTGAGCTTAAGGTCAGCCTAAACAGCATAGTGAGGTCCTGTCTCCAAAACCAAACTAACAAACAATTAAAGAATAACCAAACAAAAAAACACAGTGGCCAGACATGGATTAGTTCATAGCTCCTTTAGAACAACCCCTCAGCAATTTGGGGCAAATACCTCAAACCTTGCAACAAAACAAACTCCTCGTGAATTAGTTGCTATAAAAAGAAAACTTAAATCCTAGAAAATCCAGCAGACAGACAGAAGTGAATGCTAATCTGGCTGCCATGGGGGAGGGCACGCCAACTTCCCAAGGTTTGAAGCAATGCAAAACAGGACAAATCAAGATGGACAGGAACTGAGTCTTTTTCCACGCAAAGAAAAAACCAAAATCAAGAGGGAGCTGACCTGCCCAGCAGGTAGGGGCTGCCGCTCCCCATGGAGGGTTGAGACCTGGACTGGGCAGCACAGGCAGAAGTAGGCTGGATTTAGGGCTCAGTCGATGACTTACTGTGGGACCTGGTGAGTCATTTGACTCCTCTGTGCTTCTGTTTGTATCCATTCACCCGGGGATGGTAGGTGTTAGGGCTTAGGTTTAAGCCGTTCCTCAAGATGTGTATGTGTGTGTGTGTGTGTGGTGACTGGATCGTGGGGGTGCTTGCTACACATCAGGGGATTGATTCATCCACTGAGTTTAGCAGCTAAATCTGTTAGAAGTCAGGGCCTGCTTGGAGGTGGCCGCTGGGGGTGTGACCTGGAAGACTGTGTTCTTGTCCCCTGCTCTTCCCTTCTCTCTCTGCTTCCTGGCCACCATGAGCATTTCCCTCTGCCATCCACCATGCTGTTTCTGCCTCGGATCCAGCTGACCACAGACTGAACCCACAGACCCCATGAGCCAAAATAAACCTCTTCTCCTTTACATTGTGGGTGTCAGGTGCTGTATCCTAGCGATGGAAAGCTAAGACAGTAACTCACGTCAGGATGAAATCACATCATACCTGCGAAGTGCACAGATTGGATACCCAGGAAGGTTCCATACGTGGGAGGGACCTTGGCTCTGGGCTATGACACCCAAAAGTCCGTGGACAGGGAAAGAAGAGGAGGGACAGGACGGGGATGCTTAGTTTACCGTAAGATTCGTCACTGTCAGAGGATTTAATGCTAATCAGGATATGCTGGTCCAGCAGGTACTCCGGGTCAGAGATGATAGGCTTCAACTGCAGGGAGAAGGTACAGAGTTAATGCCAACAGGTGGGGGCAGGCAGGGAACAGCGGGGTGTGGAGCAAGTGTAGGAAAATGGGGCTGAAGATGTGATTAGCTGGGTCCAAGTCTCAGCTCCTGTAGAGGCCCACCGGAACTGCTCTCCTTGACTTAGGCGCAGTAACCCCCACTCTGGCTAACCCTGGCCCTGTCTCCATGTACTGATATGTATGGAGCTGGCCAGGCCATTTCCTTTTCCCCTCAGTTGGCTCTGAGCAATGTAAATAGGGCTGGCTGAGGTGCTGATGTGTAATCTTTGAAGCCAAATGTCAGTCCTGTTTCCTCACCTGTGTCTCCATTGAAATGGTTGAGCCCAGCAGGATGGCAAAGCCATATAGCTCCAGGACAACTCAAACTGAGATTTTGAGCCTCAAAGGCTATGACTTCCCAGGGGAGAAAAAGTTTGCACGTGTTTGCACGTCCGAACTGAAGCTCCTGCCTCCGAACGTTAAATGCTACCTCAATTGAGTTAGGCAGATTGGTCTTTCTGCATTCTCTTCAATCTGCACATTTCAGAGGTGCTTTCTGGCCTCCTAGCCCAGCTCACAGCACTCACATAGTTCCTGCCATTCTCACTGTCACTCACCCCTAATACACTCCCTTCTTCACAAATTAATAAATTCTGGGTTAGGCCCTCATTCGCAGCCTTTGTGCTGTCATCACTCATCTGGGCCAGATTCGGGACCCCTTTGCTGCCCGTAACTGTAAATACATCTTAGTGTCTTTGCTTTCACTGTGGGTTGCATTGGAGTTAACTTGCCAGAATTCCAATAATGTTCCGATGGGGCTACAAATATGAACTTTCCAGACTGTGAGGATGGGAAAAGAGATTTCTGTAAGCTCCCTGTGTCTGAGAGTATGCTTAGGGGTCCATGCCTATGCCCAGCCCACTGGGCAGCCCTTAACTTTCTTCTCATCCCTGTCCCCCACTTTAGCTTGTGACTCAGGCCTCCTAAGCTGGGCCGAGCTCGCAGGTCCCAGGAAAATGGCCCCATGTCTGCTGCCTCTCCCTTCCTTCCCTCCTCTGCAGGGTCCAGAGCCAGGTCTGTAATTGGCTACGCACATTACTGGCAGAAAGTTGCCTTCCTGCTCTTTGGGTCGTCCTGAAAGATGAGGATGAGGCCAGTGTCCCCCTCACACAGAGCCTCCCAGCTGGTCTGCAGTGTGCTAGTGGTTGCTGGGGTGTAGTTCAAAGCATGACCACCACAAACTCTGCAGTCCTCTCTGTTCTCAACTTCCAGGAGCAAGAACCACTCAGAGCCAGGCACTGCTGGCCTCCCGGCTGCCCGCTGACCTGGCTCAGGGTCTGTGGCTACATCAAGGATGGGCTTCAGCACTGCATTAGCTCCTATACTCAGAGGTGAAATTATGTATCTCAACTTCAGATTCATAGTTGTCATTGTGAGGCATCTCCTCACAATGACAACAACACAAAAGGACCAAATAAAAAGGCCAGTGGCTCTGGGCTGTCCCTTTCCTTCCCTTCCAGGCACCAAAAGACTCCAAGAATAGGCTCTGGATGCCACACTGAATATCGACATGGACTTGCTATTCTCTCTGGAGAAAGTTCCAGAATAATGACAAGAAATGGCAGTGGGCCTGCATAAAGGGGATTCACCCAAATCAGGAGCAACCACAGCTCAGGTGTGTCTTCCATTCCTGGGGTGACAAGTCCTCCTCCTGTGGCCCAAAGTTGCTCAGGTCAGTGGTTAACAGCAGCACAGCAGGCCCAGTACCCCCAGAACCTGCCCGTGATGTCACCTCTGAGGGCATCTTCAGGAGTAGCACCATGGCCCCGGACACCCCTTCCTATGATCGGAGAGAGACACCGGGACAGCTCTGCTGTGCACCCACGGGAACCCCTGGAGCTCAGTCAAGGGCAGCAAGCAGCTCCCTGTCCCTCAGGATCAAAAAAGCAGTCTGGGCAAGAAAACACCTTTCTAGGGGCCGGGGATTTAGCTCAGCGGCAGAGCACCTGCCTGCCAAGCATGAGGTCATAAGTTTGATTCCCAATACCAGAAAGCAAGCATCTTTCTATATAAAGACAAAGTCCTTGCTACTAAGGCAGGTCTGTGTGGTTGCAGGTCCACCCTGGGTCACATGTGCCATGGCTGTGTCAAGGGCTCCCTGTGCTCACAGGGCTCGAATAGGCCAGTCCCGAATGGGCAAGTGAGCCCCAGGGGAGCCTGGGAGGTTATTGAGAGGGACAGTGGAAGGACTGAGGGTGTGTGATGTGCAGTTCCCCATGATGGATGTCATCATTATGAACTGCAAACATACACTAATAAAAGGCAGGGCATGGGGGTGCAAGTCTGTAATCCCAGCACTCAGGAGGCTGAGGCAGGAGGATTGTTTTGAGTTCGAGACTAGTCTGGGCTACAGAGTGAGTTCAAGGCTGGCATGAACTGCATAGTGAGACACTGTTTCAAAAAGACAGAAAAAAAAAAAGGAAGAAGAAAGTAAAGTACTGTTATCAGAATAATAAAATTTTACCAGTAGACTCTAAATAAATAAATAAAATAAAAAGAAAGAAAACAAAGGGGGACCAGGTATATTTGGAACTGACACCTGGGTCTGCCACTATGAATCTGTGACCCTAAATGAGCCTCTCATTCTGCACCTTAGGGTTCCCTTCTTACTTATTTAGTTTTGAATTTTTTTGAGACAAGGTCTCACCATGATTCTCCTGCCTCAACCTCCTGAGTGCTGGGATTACATTGCTCTTCTGTGCAAAATCATGGCATTTTGTGTGGACTGCTAGGTCTCATCCACAACTGCTGAGGAACTGGGAGCTGGTTAGCAATGCTGGGGTCACTCACGCCCCTACTGCATTTAGTCGGTGGGATTGCAACTCCCTCTGGTTGGGCAGAGCCTCTTGCCCAGCACAGCCAGTGACCCAGTGCGGCTGCCCCCGTGACCACGGCCCTCTCCCTGGCAGCCTCCCCTCTCTCTTGAGTTACCTTGGGAAGCGTCTCGCCAAACTTTACCACCAGCTCCCCCTCGCTGCCCTCTTCATTTTCTCCTTCCTGGCTCTTGACAAAACCTGTGGGAGGGCAGGAAGGCAGGTTCCCAAAAGATACAGCAAGGGCCACACACTCCCTTAGGAGGGGAGCAGTTTCCCTCGCGTGAGTCTCAGGGGCAAGAACTCGGCACCATCGAGGAGCTGGGCTTGCCGGGGATCCTGTTTCTGTGCAGGGGTGGTCATTTGCCAATGTGCTCGGATTATTTTTAGGAAAATCGAGACTTTCCCCCTCCTTTTCTGCTTCCCTTAGCAATAAACCAGGCAACAAAGAAATCATCGCATTACAGGCAAGGAGACTGGGAAACATGACAGCTCGTCCCACGCCACTCAGGAGAGCAGCCTTTGGAGATTCTAATTTAAGCTCCCTAATATGCCGTTTCCATAGAAATGTATGCAAATGTCTTGGTAGTTTATTAAAAACACCCGCACACACAAAAAACCCTCATCCTTTTTGGAACTGCTCTGACCCAGCTCCCTGAACTGGGGTTTGAGGGACTTTGTGATGAAGGTCTCGTATCACCAGGACTGTGTCAGAGCAGGGATGGGCACAGGGGACGGAATCATGGTTGGTGACAATCTGGGATTTCTGGAAGCCTCGAGTCCAGGCTTCTGTTGGTGAAGTTGACTCCTCCCTTCCCCCTACCATAGGCATCGAGAACCAGAACCTCCGAGGATGTGCCTGGAAATGTTACCTAGAACGGGTGTGCCCTGAACCTGGCCTGTGTCAGAAAAAAGGTGCCCACCCTGGCCTGTTGCGGGATGCTGAGGCCCCAAATGTTGGTGCCCACAAGAACAAGGAGCACAGGGTCATGGCAGGCAGGTGGTGTGTGGGCTCCGCAGGCTGGGGAGCCCCAAGCAGGACAGGATGCTGGCTTAGTTACAGTCCAGCTCGGGGGGAACTCAAGTGGGTTATGGCTTGCTGTGGGGGCAGGGAGAGGAGCCCGAAGCCCGCAGGGGTCCGGTCATCGTGGCTACTCCACTCCTCTGGCCCCAAGGGCATCTGTGAGTCCTTCCGGACAGAGGAGAAATGGGGCTGCACTGGGCCGCCGGGTCCTGCCCACCCCACCCGAAGGCAGCCCCCGACTCACTCTCCAGGCAGCTGGAATGGAACTCCAGGTAGAACTTGGTCTGGGACTTTGTCTTCAGGGTGGCGTAGCACGCCAGGAACTCGATCTGCCCTTGGCTGTCCCCGGTCCCGGGGCCTGCAGCAGGTGGGAACAGAGGTTCAGCTGCAGTGTGCCAGGGTTTCCCGTCAGCCCCTCTCCAAGGGTCTCAGGAAGGAATGAATCCGGGAGGAAGTCTGCCTTGGGCATCCTGATGGTGGCAACAGCTTCTCTGCTCAGTTCTGTGCTGGCTACCCAGGAGCTGAGCACAGAGAACAGAGCTTGAGGAGCCAAGAGCTACTCTCAGTGCTGTCCCCAAAGCTCTGTGCCTTTGGACAACCCCTCAGCCTCACTGCATAGCTTGCCCCTTTGTCAAAGCAGGTCCGACAAAGAGCTGGTGCAATGGCTCACATGTTGATTGTCCCAATCTGTTACGTTGCTTTTTTTGTTGTTTTGCTTTGTTTTAGTTTTTTTTTTTTTTTTTTTTGAGAGCTGGCTTTGAACTCAAACTGCAGGGATCCTCCTGCCTCAACTTCCTGAGTACTAGGATCACAACCGTGTGTGACTACACATGATTTCCACCTGCTCTTTCTCCCTGAAGTGCAGTGACCCCAGTCCTCGTCCCGTTCTCTGACCTGTCACTGGTAATTGCATAATTAATTTGTGACTATGAATTTTGATTGTCCTTAAGCTGGCTTTAAACATTCTTTCCTTTCCTGTAAATTCTGAGCCATTTGGGAGCAAGAACAAATCTTTCATTTCCAGCCTCCCTTAGTTAGATGCTCAATCCAAGCTCCATCCAATGGATCAGATCTTTGAGCCTGAAATGGATAACACTGTCACCAGTGGCAGGAGGAGGTGACAAGGGGAATCCCACAGAGGGCTGTAGGAATTCAGAGAAAGGGGAAATGGGGAGGCAGGGATGAGAAAGAAACTAAAGGTTAGTTTCTGGAAGGTTCTGGAAAGTTCTAGAAAGTTCTGGAAAGGCAGTAGCAGAAGCTACAAAGGCAATACAATCTTGGAGCAATGTCAAAATAGGGTGAAGAAAGGGCATGTTGTCAGGGCTGTGGACATCAGACCCGACAGTTGGGGGGAAGAACACCCTGGAAAGACAGTGTCCCAGCCTCACCGGTATCCCTCAGGACACAAAGGACAGTGAGACACCTCTCTCTGGCTGGATTTGGGCTCCCCACCTGCAGCCTTCCTAAATGAACCCAAACTGTCTGCTGCACAGATGTAGGGATGAGTATAGGAGGTGACAAGACAGCCCTGGTTACCAAGGCTGTGGGCGAGATGGGTGCATGACAGGAACTGCCCAGCCCCTGGCTTGATGACCAGGGCTGGGCTGCAAAACTTGAAAGACTGATTGCAAATCTAGTGTTTTTGCAACTGGTGTGCTGGTGCACACCTGTGACCCCAGCACATGGGAGGCTGAGGCAGGAGGATCACTGAGAATTCAAGGCCAGCCTAGACTATGCAGTGAGTTCAAGGCCAGCCTAAACTGCATAGCAAGACCCTGTCACAAACCAAACACACACATAAACACACATCCCGAAAAACTGAAAACAAACAAAAATCTAGTGTTTTCCAAGACTCAGCCACCCACACCCGGATTTCCACAATTTCTAACATCTCCAGCACCACACATTTACACTAATGTCTACTTAATGTTTTCTTTAAATAGACACACTTTGGAAGCATAAATGTAATTGCCTAAAGCATACCACACTATTAAAGGGAAAACTAAAGTACTTGCCTTCCCAAAAGAGATCAGTGTAAAACACATTAGAACAAAAGCGTCACTAAGCAATGATCATCCCTAACCCCCAGCTCCCGATCCCCGACCCAAGGATTGCCTTGCCTGTAGCTGAGTTTGCGACAGGTCAGAATCTGATCCCTACAGAGCAGGAAGACTCCCCCGCCTGAACTGGAGACATGGGCCCTGTACCCGGAGACCAACAGGCCAGTGGCCCTGGGCTTGGCCACCGCTTACCGTTCTTGGAGACGAACTGGGAGGTGACCCCTGCCTCAAACGTGGCAAACACAGGGCTGTGATCACTCGTCATGATGTCACTGGTACTGCCTGCAGGGGAGGGAGGAGAGTGGGCCTGCAGTCAAGCCGTGGACAGGTGACACCAGCAGCCAGGAACCTGAGACTGGAAAGGCAGGCCTGGGGCTCCTGGGTCAGGGCTCCCCTCTCAAGTGCTGTCACCTGGGAGGGTCCAGGGCCTGGGAGTTAGGACAGGCAGTGGTTGGTGCTTTGGGGCCCTGGGTTCCAGTGTAGGGCATCATACAGAAAGCTGCTACACCTGGCTGTGTTCATAGCCATAAGACCCAGGTCCCTGGCTCACCCCACCTCCCCAAACTCTGGAACCCCACTGCCTTTTTTCTCTCTCTCTTTTTGAGACAGGGTCTCTATGCAGTTCATGCTGGCCTTGAGCTCACTTTGTATCCCAGACTGGTCTCGAACTCACAAAGATCCTTCTGCCTCAGCCTCCCGAGTGCATGTACCACTACATCCAGCTCTCCATTGCCTTTTCTTTCCCAACTTCCTCCTCCTCCTCCAGCCATGACTTATTAAACCTACTGCACCCTCAGTGTCACTAGAGAACTCTCCCATCTTTTCTACCTCCCCTTCCTGCCAAGCCTGGCAGAACACACAGCAGCCCCTCCGCACACTGGGCCTGAGGTGGGACACCTGCTTCGTTGTTCCTCACTCTGGAGCAGTTCTGGGAGCCCAGCCCACTGAGGTCTCCCAAGGGGTGGCTGGTGAAGGCAGAGAGCTGGCAGGAAATGGTAGGGGGTGTTTGTGTGCCTGAACCTGCTGAGGCTAGGAAGGAGGGGGTTGCATGCCCAGAGGGTTCTGGGATAGAGGCCACCCACAGCTTTCAGGTCATCTGATTCAAGGTTGAGAGAGCGTGCCCATCTTCTAGATGGGCATATGGAGGCCCCCAGTTTGGTGTTGCTGTCGCACACCAGGCTGGGACTCACCGTAGGACTGGCACACCACATGCACCAGGGGGTAGGACTTCCAGAGGACTCGGTCGCACCAGGAGGGCAGGTTGTACTTCATCTGCAAAGCAAAGTCACAGGGAAGAGAAGGGTCTGCTACTGTTTTCTTTTTACTCAGTAAGAAAAAAGAGGGAAAAAAAATGAAAGAGAAAAAAAAAAAAGAGCAGGAACTCCCAAATCCCCAAATCCACCCGACTCTGCTATTTTAATGCCAGTCTCATATTTCAGCCACTTTCTGGCTGTGTTCCCTGAGATTCTCCACTGATGTCGCACTATCAGTATGTCTGGAAAGAAGCTTTCTCTTACCCCTGTGGCCCAGTGCTGCCTGCCGATCCAGGTTTTTGTTAATGGCAGCCAGATCTTTCCACAATCCTCTTTTCTCTCGTTTTCTCCACCGCTCCTGGCTTCAAGTGGCCCTGGGTCCCCCACCATCCCATTCCTCTGCCTCTCAGTCCCCTGCCCTGGGCTGGCCTCCCTGGGTTGGGCTCTGGAAGGTGGCATCTGCCCCTTCCATGCAAAATTTGCCAGGCCCTCCGCCATCATGGCAGCCCACAGAAACCCAGGCTGCCCTCCACGGCATCTCAAGAAGCTGCCCAGCCCTTCCCGGTCACCGTAGTCACTTCCCATCTCCTGCCTTGTCTTTCTTACCCACAAACTGCTTGGGACAGGTAGGTCCTTCAGCTCTGATCCTGTCACCTTGGGGAGTGCCTAACCCACTGCAGGCCATCAGGAGGCCTCGCAGGGAATGAACAAGTAACTGTTTTACAGCATCTTCCCCCAAACTCTGCTCCCTGACACGAGTGACCACCTAAGATATCGAGAACCACAGTGCGCCGAAGCCCGTAAAGGCTCTCCTAAGACTTACATGGAAGAAATCTGTTTAATTAATGCTGACTAACTTGGGAATTTAGCAAAATATGTTTGATGACAGGGCCTTGGGTTTTTGTGTTTGTTGTTAGTTTTATTTGTCAAAAATGGGTTTCACATATGTATATGTATGTAAAAATAGTTACGATAGTGACACTACTGATTTCTCTGAGATCACTGAAGAGAACTGGGCTGGTATTGTTTGGACAATTGACTGCAGACAGGGATGACAACACACAATGCATGTACCAATGTTGCCCTTGATTGACGTGTTTTGAAATTTTGTTGTAGTTTTTTTTTCTTTTTTTTATCCTTGAAGTAAAATGGATTTGAAAAAAAATAGGTTTCAGAACCTAGTTGTAAAAATAATAATATCCTCTTAGAACCTTAGTATCTGGACAGATTTAAACCCCAGGGGTCATTAGTTCAGCTCTATTGTTATTATTATTATTAGTTTTGGTTTTTAGAGACAGCGTCTACCTATGTGGTTCAGGCTGCCTTGAATTCACTATGTAGCTCAGCCCAGACTCCAACTCATGTTGATCCTCCTGCTTCAGCCTCCCCGAGCCGGCTGGTTCAGCTCTTTTCAGTGTTTAAATTGCTTGTCCCGTTCTTGCTGTGACACAAATTAACACATGACCTTTTTCCCTTCCTCTTTCTCTTTTGCTGCCCAGTAGTTCAGGCAGCCGGGAACCTAGGGGGCGGGGGAGGACTCACCCCTGTCGCTTTCTGCTTCGTGTATGCATATTTGTCCCGAGTCAGTCTTTCAAATCGGTAGGTGGGCGCAAATGTGATTTCTTCCTCCTCTGAAACAGAGATGGGGATCTTAGTGTTGACCCCTGAGTTTCTCTGCTCTGCAGGCCCCGGGCCTCCCCCAGCAAGGACACGGAGGGGACAGGGCAGGGGCAGGGGCGCGAAGAGACTCTCACCAAAGTGCAGGAAAACTCTCTGCTCCTTGCGCTCGGTGAGCAGCTGGTCGTGGGCCAGCAGGTCGGCATACTGCTGCTGCCGGATCTTCTGGATGATGGCTTCCGCCTCCTGCAGCCAGGACACCCCAGTGAGCACCCCTCAGCCTGCCTCTGGGGACTGGGTTGCTAGTCTCTGGGACTCATGTATCTAACTGGGGATGCTCTGGGGAGCATCCCAACCAATCAAGTCCCTGGCAAGGCCACACTTGCATATGGACTTTTTATTCTGGCACTGACTTCATACCTTTTCTTGTTCTTTCCAGCACTGAGAATTAAACCCAGGGCCACTGCACTGAGCTATATCCCCAGCCTTCTGAGCCAGAAGCTTGCGAGGTCACTAAGTTGCCCAGGCTAGGCTTGAACTGTGGATCCTGCCTCAGCCTCCCAGATCAGGCGGATGTCAGGCATGCACCACCGTGCTCAGCACAATCTCCTTTTTATTAACACTTCATGAAGCGGGCAGTTCAGCCTGGGTCGGCTCCTTAATCTGTGGACATCAGCCTTGAAGACTCGGGCACAGAGCTGCCTTTTCTGGACCCGGCATGCAGGCTGGGTGACCTGAGGTCACAGTGACCGTAAGGTGGGGTGGCCATCACAGTCATGGGGACCACAAAGAAAGGCTGAGGCTGCATGCTGAGCCAGAGGAACTCATGCATCTTCACGACCAGCTGCCCTGTCCCTGCCACCCTCCAGCCCCAGGCGGAGGCTGCTTACCCAGGTGGGCAGGTCCACACGGTAGTTGAGATCCCCAAGCCAGAAGAGGTGGGTGAAGCGGTGAGTGATATTAAAGGAACTCAGTTTTCTGTCTCCCAGGGCCAGGAACCGGAGGATGTTCATGTAGTTTTGGTTTCTCCTAATTGAAGGATAAAGTGTCATCTCGCATGCAGGTCACTGATTCCCACCCCACCGGACAGGAAGTCAAAAGAGGTATGGGGAGCCAGATGTGCTGGCGCATGCATGTGATCCAAGCACTCAGGAGGCTGAGGCAGGGGATCACTGTGAGTTCAAGGCTAGCCTTGGCTACATAGGGAGTTCAAGGCCAGACTGAGCTACACAGTGAGACCCTGTCTCAAAATAAAAAGGGACGGGGTGAAGGGGGTGGGTCGCTGGGGATCAGATCACCAGCCTGTCGAAGTGGGCATGTGGATGGGCGGGGCGGGGGGGATACAAATGGGCTTCAAGGCCAGGCTGGGGGCTCAAAAGGTCAATGCCAAGCTCATCGGAACAGTGGCAATTCTCCAAGGCCACCTGCGTGCCTGGCAGGCCTGATGGGTTGTATCTGAGCGAGCCTGGCTGAGGTGGCCACAGAGAAAGGAGTGGTAGTTAGTATCCAGCGGGCAAAGGACACAGACATCTCCTCTGTCCTCCAAACAAGAGTCCTCCACACTGAGGTCCCCCCAGAGCTGCAGTTGTCTGTGCTGAGCCCAGGAAGAGCCCTGAAGGGCCTCATGTCACCTGGAAGGCCTATGCTGGGGGGTGGATATGGATGGATCTGGAGAGGGAGCCATCAGCGGCAGGGGTTGAACCCAGCCCTCGGGGAGGAGGGGGTTACCTGAGCTTCTTCTCACTTCCGGAGGTCAGGTGGCTGTTGACAAACCCCAGTGAGGTCCCATTGAACATGAACGACACTCCCACTGCTCCCTTGTTCCCTAAGAGGGGAGAAAAAAGAGAATAAGAACATCCAGCAGGCACACTAGGCCGGTGGCCAGCTGTGGAAAATGCAAGGTAGAAGGAGGCCAGAGATAGCAACCAGGTCCCTTGTGGTGACAGGTGACAGGTGAACAGCCAGCAACCTTGGGCTTCTCCCAACTGACCAAAGACCCACACCCAGGGCACACTTTTTCTTCCCTACATTTTGGGCTATGCTACATAGTGGTTCTCAAAGTGTGTTCCCTGGGCCAACCGGCTGCTTGCTGGGAGGAGATATATGTGAGCCATTGGAGACGAGGTTCCGGAAAGGTGTGTGAACAGGCCAGCTATTGCCTGGAAGTGGGTTTTACATCTTTAAGTTGTCAGGGAAATAACATCGGAAGAAAGTTAATGTTGGACCTGTGTTCAGGTACAAGATTGATAAGAATCGTGTTCTGCCCCAGGGTCTTGGCAGTGTCCCTGGAAGCTGCTTTCGGGCCAAACCAGAGGTGGGTATTTAGAGCCTGCACAGCCCTGAGGGCCACTAGAGTCACCATGCATCTTTTGCAGTTTGCTGACCCCTGTGCTCCCTGTGATTTCAAGCCAGGCAGAATCTGAGAATATGGTTTGCTTAACTCGGCGGCTGCAGGCCACACAGGGTTCCCAGGCTAAGTATCAGGCCACCACCCCTCCCCGCCCTAGCATCTCGGCCCCCACTGGCCCAGCGGAGCCGCACCCTGACCTCTCTGCTGTGGTGCTTACACCGCAAAGCATCTTCCTTCCAGTTTGCTTTCGGGCCACGGGTGGAGCCAGAGAACAGGTTCCCTTCCACTCCGTAACTGCTGTGTCCAGCCTGCCATGGCCTGTGGTGCTGGAACCAGAGCTGGGCACCGGCCAGAGGTGGGGCCCAGTGGAGGGAGCGCAGTGTGGCTTTGTAAGGAGAATTCTGAGCGCTTCCCGCCCTGGGTCTGCCCCAGGACACCAAGGAGGGGATTCCCATGGCCCACACCACCCCAAGCAGGAGGGCCCGGCACATAAGAGTGCAACATGGCCAGTGGGAGGTTTGCAGGCCGCAAGATTGCAGCAATCATGGAGCTTCCTGTTATCTCCAGGACTGGCCTGCCCCACTCCACCCTGCTAAAACCGCTGGCTTTGCCCTGGACTCCACCCGCAGCCCTGGGTGTGTCCCCGAACACTCGTGGCACCTCCACATCCACAGACACACATACGAGGACTCACACTCACCCAGCAGACTGACATACCCAGAAGCACACATTCATACAGATTCACAAGAACACACACACATTCGATGTCAGCCCCCATAAGTATGCACTTACACACTCTTACACAGACTTGCACGCCCATACCCCACACTCACACACATCCATATGGAGGCACACACCCTGATGCCCATGCAGTCTTCTGCCTTTTTTCATCCTCGTTGGAGCCCCAAGACTTAGAACTGGGGACCTTACTTCTACCTCTGGTCTGGGAGAGCTGGGACCTAGACTGAGGTGGCAGCTGCACCCTCTGAACAGTGCCAACCCTGCTGGGAAGTCTCCCTGTTCATTCTTCTGTGTTGATCGTGGCAGCTCTTAGCCACAGTGTGCGGTCAGTAAGCCTGCAACCTGCCCCTTCCAGCAAGGCTGCCTACCTTAGTCTGGGTGCTTGCTATGCAAAGCAAGCCCCTGGCCCTTTTGTTTCCCTCAGTGCTACCTGGGAGCCTGCTGGACTGGGAGCCTGGGCCAGTGAGGCTCAGCGAGTCAGAACCAGATCCCTAACTGCTCCAGCCTCAGGGACCAGCGGCCCAGGGGTGCATCCCAGGTGGGAAGGACGTGGTTCCCTACCCACTCACCCAGGGTGTTGGCGATGCCCGTTTTCACGTTGTCGGTGCAGATATGGCTGATTCGGTTCTCGTGCTCAGGCTTGGCCAGCACCACGATGCGGATGTTCCAGAGTGTGTGGACAGCAATCTGCGGGAGGTGCCGTGTGGGAACCCAAGGCTCGGCGATGTGCCCAGCCCTGGTTCCTGGGGGTGGCGTGCCCCATCTCTAATCCTTAGCCTTTGGGGTGACTCTGTGGATGCCAGCAGTGAGACCTGGGGTGGACGCTGCACCCAGGAAGTAAACATGGGCTCTGACCAGCAGAGCTGGGGTTGAGGGGGACTGGGTGGTTTTTGGCAGCAGTCCGAGGGCCCTATAAATTTCCAACTGTGGCCCTGGGTACATCTTTCTGGCTCTGGCACTGGGGGACCACTGAGACCCCAAATGTCTTCTGAATCGGAGTTGCCAGGCTGAGCCCACCCTGGGCTCCGGGGTGCTCCCTGGGTGAGGGCAGCTGCTCACCGGTTTAAAATTCATGCTGGTTACTTCTCGCAGGGAGTGTCTGAGAATCTCCAGCCACTCCTTCTCCCCCAGAGGGTCCTCCTGAGTGCCAATCACGTAGATGTCGTGCGGGATGTAGTCAGCGGAGTCGTCCCGTGTCTTTCCCTGCCCCTTGGAGAGAAACCAGGACGTGATCTTCTTGGGAGGGGGGGCGTTACCTTCAACAGCAAAACCCAACACCACGTGAGTCAGAGGCTGGTCAGGGAAACAGGCAGGGGCAGGGTAGGGAGGGGACAACTCAGTCACCTGAAGCCATTTAGGCAAGGGCCCTAGATGGACATCTAAGTGCCAGTAACACCCAGGGTGCCAGTTGTCGGGGTCAGAACTCAGAAAAGTTTCTTTTACTTTATTTACTTTTTTATTGAAGACTGGTCTGGCTATGTAGTTCAGGTTGGCCTTGGACTAACTGTAGCGGCAGGAGACCACTAGGGGAACCCCGACCACTAGGGGAACCCCTTCCACCCTGCTCACATGCAGCAAGGCTCCAGGCAGCTCCTCCCACATCTTAGCACAGGGACCCCCTGCTCACAGAGGTCCCAATCACATGCATGAGCTGTGACGGTGAGTCCCGAGGGAAACCAGCAGAGTGTCCGAAGCATTAGAGGCTCTGAACAGGGCAGATAAGGACCCAGGAGCCCTAAGCAACCTCAACACTACCGTGGCCCCTGAACATCCAACTTTGGTTGGGCAAGTTCAGGACCAGAAGGCAGATGACTTGCAGGACAGGGTCTGTGTCTCTGAGACTCACTGAGACTCCTGTCTTCTCTCTGGGAAGCTGGCCCAATTTCTGCTGCCCCTCCCTTCCTCTAGGGCTCTGCTGGTGACTGTTGGGCGGGGACTGGAGTGGCCTGGCTGCCCCACACAGAGGCAGACCATTGGGAGGCTGTCCAGGTAGGTCTGCCCTGCAACCGCTGCTTAGGGTTAGGGCTGGGCGTCTTCTTCCTGCTTGCTTATTCCTAGCTGAATACTTACTCCTACATTGGTGTAACACATATAGTCAGCCTATCTATCTATCTATCTATCTATCTATCTATCTATCTTCTTTCTTTTTATTTTTTAATCGGTACTGGGCATCAAACTCCCCAACACGTGCTTGCAAGGCAGGCGTTTATGCCACTGAGCTAAATCCCCAGCCCCTATCTATTTATTTTCTATCTGCCTATCTATCCATCTATCTATCTGTCCACTTAGCACATCTTCAGTATCTATTTCTAGCTAAGTACTTTTACTAAATCCTCGGCATACTTTATATTTAGTTTTCATGTTGTCTACAGTGGTACTTGGGGAATTGTCGTTAATTGGCTCTGGCAGTGTGACAAGGACCAAACAAATTGTCTTGTCTGGAAAGGGCAGCAAATATCAAGGCCACTGACAGTGACCAGTTCTAGTTCAGGTGTCAAATGACAACATCTGCATCAAAAGGTATCATTACATTCAATACGTTTCCAAGCAGTTGAGTATCACGCTATGACTGTATTTAGTATATAAAATGTATTAGCATATAAGGAAGTATATATGCTATACTAGTAGTTACATTTGGATTTATTTATTTACTCCCAGTCATTTGGAAGTATTAAAAATTTACTTGTTCTTTATACAAAATTCAGATGTAACTGGAAATCTTCTATCTACCTACCAATGGCTCTTTCTGGATAAAACAAGGGTAGACTGTTTTTTTTGTTCATCTGTTACTGAGACAAGGCATTGCTATGCAGTTCAGGCTGGCCTTGAACTCACTATGTGCCCCAGGCTGGCCTCAAATTTGTGGCCATCCTCCTGCTTCAGCCTCCTGAATACTGGGATTACAGGTATGTACCCAGCCTGGGGTAGACCTCTTCTTCTGGCCCTGGGGCCCCTTTCTCCTTGTCTTTTCATGTGCTGCCTAAAAAATGAGCCCCTTAACCTCAATATTCTGATTCTTTACCTAAAGCCTTCCAATCCGGAGGTAACTGACTGGCTACTCTTGGGGTAGAACAGTCTCAGAATTGATTTTCCTGCTCTGAGAAAAGGGTGGGCTTCCTTAGAAAAGGGGCCAAGAGGATGGGCTGGGGTCAGGGCAAGGAGACAGGAGGCCCAGTGCTCGCACTGTGAACACGGAAGCAGGAAGACGGATGCAAAGGCAGGGCGCAGGGCAGGCACCCACCCATGTTCCAGGTGCCGATGAAAATAGTGATCATGTCGGGCTCCGGCTGCTCTGAGTGCTTGTTCTTCATCTGCTGCAGGAGCTGGCAGAACCCTTCTCTCTTCTGTGGATGGAAGGGGTAAGAAGAAGACTGAGTGTAGCCTGGCCTGCACCTTTGCATTTTGCATTGGCCAAGCACTCAGCCCTGAGGGCTGTGTGTGCGGTGCAGGCTACAGAACAGCTTAGAAACAAATGTGCCCAGAGCAAGCAGGAGCTTCTCCTGACCCAGCTGCACCATGGCCAGGGTAGGGGCGACTCCAAGAGAAAAATCGGGATCTGCAAAAGACCCCGCCCTCACCAAGCCTCCACACAGCACCCCAGGAGGAGCAAGCTTCATGCCCAGCCCAGGGGGATTCGTAGCTGCCTGATGGACCATCCCTAACCTAGGGTGACAGAGAGATTAGAGTGTGTGCAGAGGCACCTTGTCAAAAAGAGATAGCCACAAATACTTCACCACATATGAAAAATGATGTGACAAAATGGTATGAATGGCATCACTGTATTTTTGATTTTAACAAAACATCAATTTGAGATGTGGAGGCTCACGCCTGTAATCCCAGCACTCAGAAGGCTGAGGCAGGGATGGCTGTGAGTTCCAGGGCAGGCTGTACTACCTATCAAGACCCTGTGTGTGTGAAGGGGGATGGACAAAACACCGACAAAAGAAAAGAAGACATCTGATAAGATATAGCCCAAGGCCAACTAGTGGTACATGGGTGTTTTTATTTTAAACTTGTGCTTTTTTGTATCTGTTACTATTTCATCAGTGAGAATCAATGACTTATGCAATACAAGAAAAAATTTAAGTTACAGCAGCTAAGTAAAAAGAAGAGTGTGTGAAGGCCATCACAGCCGCCTTCCATATTTTCAGGTATTTTTTCCTGGCTCAAAGAAGCCATATTACTCTCAGGACACGATCACTGGGAAACCCTGAGTCCTGCCATCCAAGAGGACTGGGCTCTGACTGCTTCATGTGGACACAGCCAGCGATTTCATAGGACTCGAACTGTTAACTGCAACTCTCACTGAGTCCCCTCGGAGGGCTCTAGTTCAGGAAGCTGTGCAGACAGTCTTTGTTGACACTGACTGCAGGTGGCAATGGCTCATGATTTCGTATCTCATCCCCCGCTCCACCCGGAGCTTACAGCCATGGGCAGAGCTAATCAGGTTTGGATCAATGCCCTTGTGCCAGGGCATCACATAACAAGGCAACTTTTCTTTCTACTCCTCTGCCTGGCCCCTACTTCCTTGTTCTTCATAGCATCCCCCACCCGCTGTCCTGCCAGTGTGTCCCCCCTAGAGCTTCCTCCCATTCAGCCCCCAGATCCCCGTCCTTTTCTTATTTTGGACAGGGTCTCATTAAATTGCTACGATGGGGCTTGAACTTGTGATCCTCCTGCCTCGGCCTCTAAGACCACTGATTACAGGCATGAACCACCACACCTAGCTAGGGTTGGGGCTTCTGAGATGGATGACTGGGTGGCAGAGCACCCCAGGATGTGCCCTAGGCCCATGGCAGCTTCTCCTCCTGGAGCTGTGTCAGAGCCTATCCCCACTATCCCAGAGCAGGGTGCCCAGCTGCTATAACCTCAGCTTCCTCACGTGTGAAACGGTGACTCAGGACACCACCAACCTCAACAGACAGCTGTCCCTCAGGGCCCTGTTCCCTGTCACTTACTTTCGAATCAGCAAAAATGTATTCCTTCCGCAAGGTCTTCTCCTTCTCTGTTTCCACCAGAATCATCAACTTGTTCAGAAACTTCTGGGACTTGATGAGCTGCAGGACTAAAGGAAAGGGTCATCTGTCATTTGTTGTCCACCTATTCAGCCAGCAGATCCAAGTCTCCGATGCGGCCCAACCTTACCCACCCCACCTGATGCTATTGGCTCCTGGGCCCTTGCGGGTTCCATGGGTTGAGTCAAGTGTCTCAGTTTTCCCAACCACACTCTTACGAGTTTGGTTTTTTGGTTCCTGTAAATGGGCTTTATTATCTATCTGCCTCCCAGTCGTCAGAATCACACCACTGTCCTCTTTTTTTTGTTCTCCCATGACTGCTGCCCACCAGAGGGAAGTGACGATAGCAGAGGTATCTAACTGCTGTTTTTTTGAGAGTCTTACTATGTGGCCCTGGCTGGCTTAAACTGGAGGCGATCCTCCTGCCTCAGCCTCCCAGGTAGTTGGCATTACAGAGGTGTCCTATTGCAGCCTTGAGCTAGGAATCCCACCCAAGCAGTAGCAGGAAAGAAGTTATAACATGGTGTACAACACTGCCCATCAGACGCCCTAGGATGTTCCCAGTCTTCTACTCTCAGACTGTGTTTCCTCCTGCTGAATTTCTGGTTTTCCTGACATCTGCTTACAGGATTCTGGTTGCCGTTAGGATCTGAAAACCTGCTTATCAGAGTGATTATTCCACCAGGGGCAGTAAGTGGTTCACTTTCCTCATATCACATCAATAAAACTAAAAGCTTGCCAGGCAAGGTGGCACCTTCTGGTCATCCCAATACTCAGGAGACTGAGGCAGGAGGATCTCCAAGAGCTCAAGGTTAGCCTGGGCTCCATATCGAGACCTTGTCTAAAAACCAAACAGGCTAGCCAGGCATGGTAGCACACACTTGTAGTCCCAGCACTTGGGAGGCTGAGGCAAGGGAATTGTTGCAAGTTCGAGAAGAACCAGTCTGGGCTACAAAGTGAGCCCAAGACCAGCCTGAACTGCATAGTGTGACCCTGTCTCAAAAAGACAAAAAAAAAAAAAAAGCAAACAGGCAAATCAGTATGCATTTGTACATCACTTCCTCTTTGCCAAGCACCATTCTAGCCCGCAAATTTAGCAGTTACAGAGAGCCACGTCCCAGCCTTTGTGGAGCATGTGGGAAGGTGCTAAAGAGGGAGTGCTGGGATTTATGAGCAGGAGCAAGCATCCAGACAACTGGTCACCCTGAGTGGGATCCTGCAGATGCCGAACCTGCACAGAGTGGGGAATTCCAGGTGTGGGGGGCCCAAGCCCTGCCCTCTTCAGTCATTCTGCTGCTCGAGAACTGGAGTCAGGACAGGGAGCTGCATTCCCCAGCTGGGTAGGAAGGAGTCGCGGGCCCCAGAGGGTCTGAGCTGCTGAGGGTGCAGTGCTGACCTTCACCTCTTTACCTCTGTTTTAAATCTAGGGTAGGTCAAGTCGGGCTATCAGCATATGTATCCCCATCACGGTCACTACCTTAGCATAAACTCTCTAAGGACTTTTGAAGGCAGCACACATCCTGCTCAGACTGCCAGCACCCCCACTTCTCCTGCCAAACACAGCAATATTGGAGGGACCCCGCCCCCACCCTTGAGATCCGTGCCCCCGTGTTGCTGCTCCATTCAGTCCCCACAATGACCTGGACGACCCCCACCATCTGGAGCATCCTGGATGCCAGGCACATGTAGTACCCTCTTCCCCTTTCAGCTCACCACAGCCCTGTGGGACACTACGGTTCTCTCAAGAACAGAAGGGTAAACTGAGGACCAAGGAAAGAGCACCAGACCAAGGTCATAGCGGCTGGGCTGGAATCAGCCTGGGCTTCCCTTATTTTACTGTTTTGGTTGTTTGAGATAGGGCCTTGCTATGTAGCCCAGGATGGCCTTGAACTTGCAACCATCCTCCTGCCTTAGCCTCCTGAGTGCTGGGATTATAGATGTGTATCTCGAAGCAAGAGCATCCCTGTCTGTCTCTGAGGACGAAAGGGATCTGCACTCCCAGGCCTGCTAAGTATGTGCTTCATTTGCACACAGTCACCAGCCCCAAATCCTGCCTGCTTCTGCCACAGTCTCCCTTATCACACTGAGCCCACCTCTGGAGCACTCAGGCTCCTACCAGCCTCGGGGTGCCACTCCAGAGGAGCATTTCCGGGTTACACTGCTATGTGGGTAGGAGCACTTCCGGGTTCCACAGCGCTGCACAAGACCCATTTACATTCCCTTCTCCTGCTAATCTGTCTTCTCTGCCCAGACCTCAAGAGGGAAGAAGGAAAGCTGTCTTTCACATCCATAAGGTGATTGAAAAATACAGTGAATGCTTAAATTAAAAAACAAAACAGCTGGCATGGTGGCTCATGCCTGTAATCCCAGCACTCAAGAGGCTGGCAGGAGGATTGTTTTGAGTTTGAGACCAGCCTGGACTACATAGTGAGTTCAAGGCCAGCCTAGACTGCATAATGAGACCCTGTCTCAAAAACATACAAACCACTGTAAAAGACACAGCCATTTATTCCCCTCAAAATCCTCGAGCTTGCTTCAAACACATATTCTATCATTCTTGTCACTTTTTTTTTTTTTTGTTTGTGGTACTGGGAATCGAACTCAGGACCTCACATTTGCCAGGAGTCACTGTATCCTGGATCGCCTCTTGTAAAGACGCTCAGGAAAGAGGACTCCAGAACTGCTTCAGAAAGTGGCAAGGACAGAGTGATGAGTGTATTTGAGATGAGGAGGGTGATGGGGGCATTCAAGGCTACGTGTTATTTACTGCAATGTGTTTTTCAATTCAAGCAGTTCAGGTCCAAGGATCACGGCTGGCCTTGGAGAAGGGCCTGTGTCAGGCTCACTCCTACGTCACTCACTTCATCTTCGTCATCTGTTTTATAGCAAAGGAAACTGAGGCTGAGAAGCAACCAGGGTCGCACAGCTGCTGAGACAGCTTGGATGTGACAAACCCAGACACACCGCTGCTAAGCGGCAAAGCTGGGAGATGAACGTGCACAGTTTGATTCCGAGGTGCACCTATGTCAGCGCCAGTCAGTGTGTGCTATGCTAAAGATGCCACCTGCCAAGGACGCTGTGCCACCTGGGCAGGTCCTGCACCAGGCATGGCAGGTGACAGGGTAAGTCTGATTGGCTCTGTGTGGGGAACGTGTGGAACTGCCACACCATGCACACACACACCCACACACCTGCCAGGGTGGGATGTGCCATGTGTGCCCAGCAAGGTGTAGGATCCCCTAGGGGTTCCCAGTGGACAGGGGAGGCCCCACAGAGGTGACCTCAGAGCAGGACAGGAATCCCACCATCAGGGGGACAGCACTGTGTGGCCAGGGCAGGGGTCACCCTCTGCAAAGGGGTGGGATGTGCCCAGTCTGCTACTGATCAGTCATCTATTGATCTGATTGTTCACCTACTGACCAGTCACCCTTAAAAACCCCAGCTGAACCAAAGCATGATTGGGGTGGTAAGGATGTCCCTTACTTTTCTTGTGGCTGTAGAACTTGTCATCCGAACCATCCTTGGACTTCTTAATGATCAGTTTCCCAGACTCCACGTCCACCTTGAGCTGCAGCTTCTGAGGGATCCCCAGAGACTCAGCCTTCACCTTGGTAGAGACAGATGTAGTCTGTGGGTTTTTTGGCTCCGCTTTGGCCGTGCCAACCTGTGAGCCCCCGAGGCTGCGTGGCCGCATGGGGGCCTCAGAACCGCACCCTCCCTCACACGTGTGCGGCAGCCTTTGAGGGAACCACCTGCCGTTGTGGGCCCTGGCAGCGGGGCTGGTGAAGGAAGCTGGGGAGAGGGTGATAGTTCATTTGCTGACCACTCCCAGGACACTCTAATCAGTGGTGTCAGCTACTTCCAGGAAGATTCCAGTAATTAAAAGAGCTAAACTCTATTAGCTCCCATTCCAGCCACTGACTGAATATTTACTGATCACTGGGTTGTCTAGGTGTGCTTGGAAAATGGAAATCTGTCTTTAAACGGGTACTTCTAGGGCCACTTGGAAGTAGGGGTAAGCGTGGGGCCAGGGAAAGAAAGTTTTTCTAAATTCAGTACTAGGTGGGTCAGGCTGGATTTACCAGAACCACAGGGGCACCTGAAGCAAAACCCATTTTTGGGTCCCAGCCTGGGGATTCCAATCAGTCCCTCTGGGAGGAATCACAGGACTCTTCGTGTTCTTCAACCACCAGTGCACCCCAGCACGCCGCTGTGTAGTCAGTGGGGGCCCCCAGTCCAACATCTGTCTTGAGCAGGCGAAGAATACTCTCCTCACAATGTCCATCACGGGCGCTCCAGGGAGCCCTCCTGGGTTCCCTTCTACAGCCCAAGCCCAAAGCCCTCTCCCCAAGGGACCAGGATGTGCCCCAGATGCGGAGCACAAGGCCAGGTGCCTGGGATGACTCACCTCAAAGGTAACAGGTGGGATGAGGGAACGCCAATGGGGAGACTCGGGGCCCTCATGCAGCAAGGCCTTGACCTGTGGGCGGCAGCAATGACACAGGGCGTCCAGGGGAACACAGAGCCTGAGCCCATGATTCTCTGTGCCTAAAGAGCCCCTCCCCCGAAAGCAATAGGCTCCCCCAGTACCTTGTCTTCAATGGAGGATAGCAGGCTTGTCAGCTGGCTGAGCTTGGCCACCATGGTGACTGGACTGGCCTCGCAGGGGACCTGGGAGACAAGGACAAGAAGGAACAAGGGTGGCCTTCACCCCGAGCTACAGCCCAACCTCTATTTATGTATTTATTTTCGGGACAGGATTGAGCTAAGTCACTAAATTGCCCTGGCTGGGGCTGGAACTTGTGATCTTCCTGTCTCAGCCTCTTAGAGTGTCGAGATGACAAGCATGCACCACCACCCCAGCTTTCTTTTAATCTACTGCTAAATCAAAGTTGTTTTTTTACGTTGATCTATCCTTCCCTGGATTATAGGCATGTGCCATCAGGCCTGGCTTTAGTTGTATATTGGGATTTATGTAATCCAACCTGGTCTTGATCTTGCTGTGTAGCCTGGGCTGGCCTCAAACTCAGAGTGATCCTCCTGTATCAGCCTCCTGAGTGCTGGTGTGAACCACCACATCTGGCTGTGAGCTACATTTTCCAGGATTCTCCAGAGACCTGGATTCCTCCTGGGAAGGCCATCGCCTTGAATACTCACACTCACTAAAACAGCCCCTGGGTCTTCTCTATCAGATCACTCTGCTTCAGGCTAAGTGTGGTGGCATGTGCCTGTGAGCCTAGCACTTTGGAGGCTGATGCAGGAGGATCCCTGTGAGCTCAAACCCAGCCTGGACTGCACAGGGAGACCCTGTCTCAAAAAAAAAAAAAAAAAAAAACAGAATCAAAAAACCCAGACCCTTCTGCTTTGTTCAGTCACCAGGAGCTCAGGTTACAGGTTCACTGAAGGTTTGAGAATGGTGACCAAGAGCATGGTGTTTGGCCCCACAGCCCAGCGGCTTGGAGCAGCACCTGGTCAGTGAGGACGCTCAGCCGGGTTGATTAGTGACCAAATTGAGAGGGCTGCAAGTGCTGGTCTGAAGTCACACAGCCCCAGCCTGCCTGGCATCAAGTCCATGACCACAGCCGACATGCTTCCAGACCTGGAGGTGCCATCCCTGCTTTCTCTTTTGGTTGTTTCTTTTGCTATGCAGAAGCCTTTTTTTTTGAGACAGGGTCTCTATGCAGTTCAGGCCAGCCTTGAGCTCACTTTGTAACCCAGACTGGTCTCAAGCTGGCAACGATCTTCCTGCTCAGCCTTCCAAGTGCTGGGATTATAGGCGTGAGCCACCAAACCTGGCTCTGCAGAAGACTTTTAATTTGATATTATCCATCTAACAATTTCCAGCACTTCTGGGATTCTGTTCTGGAAGTCCTTTCCCACCCCTATGACTTCAAGAGTTTTACCTATTTCCTCTTCCCCTCCCACAAAGAAAGCCAGACTTGAGATGCCAAGCATGTGCCACCACATCCAGCTTTCTTTTAATCTTCTGAGTCATTTATAGGAAAATAGTTGCACCTTGTTATGGTTTTTAGCTAGATGTCCTCCCAAAGCCTCCTGTGCTCATAGGTGGGGCTTTGAGGGTGATGGGTCATGGGTGTGTGACACGGGGTTAGTCCACCAGTGGGTTTATGAGGGTGTGAAGTGGGGAGGGGAAGCCTTGTAGGAAGAGGTGGGTCACCGTGGAGTGGATGTGGCCTGGCAGGGTGTACATAGCCTCCTCCTCCCAGCCTGCCAGGCCATGGGCTGTTTCTCCTCTGGAATACAACACTGCCTTGGAACCAGCCAACTGTGCACAGAACCTCTACACACTGTAAGTCAAACTGAATTTCTCCTTCACTTCATGGGTGTTAGGTATTATTGTCCCTGCAACACCTTGAGACAATAACACGAAGTGAAATAAATCACATACACAAACTCAAGTATCTCCCACATGAGAAACCCAAGGTATAAAATAAAGAGCAAAATAAAAGAGGGTAGAAGCAGGGAGACAGAGAAATCAAAGGGGAAGGGGATTAAGAAATGGAGGGAAAGTCGAGGGAAGAGTGGGAACAGGAATGAAAATAAGAATTATTACACATCAGATACACAGACCAGCTCCCCACAAGAAATGCAAACATTAAGCATGGCAAACATGCACAATACTAATAAAAAATTCCTAAAAATAACATAAAACATAAGGCACTGCCCCCACCCTCCTGCAGCAGGATGAGAAAATCAGGCACATCGTGGTCAACTTGACCACCAAGCAGAACGGGAGGAGTTGTCACCAACCAGGCAGTGACCTTCTCCTTGTCCCTTGCTCAGCATAGCAGCCAGGGTACATTTGCTTTTGACCTTGATTTTCTACCCATTTAAAGTACGTCAGTTCTACCGTCACCACTGCCATAGCCACTGTCACCTCCGACACCCTGGCAACAGCATCACCGTAAGAGAGGAGATCAGGCTGGGATGGCCACAGACAGCATCGCCATCGTGTGGAACCACCAAAGTCATCAGCATGGCTGGGCTCGACGGCACATGCTGGTAATCCCAGCATTCTGGGAGGCTGAGGCAGGAGGATTCCAAATTTGAGCCCTGCTTGGGCAATTTAAGACTTTATTTCAAAGTTAAAAATGTAAAAAGGAGATGGGGATACTGAAAGGGTTTTGGCCCAGATAGGACACTGTAGCCAGGAAAGCCACAACCGGAAGCAGGAAGCCCCTATCTCCCCTGCCCCTAGGAAGTTACCTGTGACACCATCTTCTCCGCCCCTGGAAATTTACATATGGCGCCAAACCTAGGACCAATGGGCTACCTGTGCATCCCTAATGCCCGCCTTAGGTTCCACCCCAAACCGAGGCTATTTACATGCCCCCACGCCACGTGTCCGCCGGAGATAGCCGGAGGCCAGCGCTGGGGGTGCCGGTCATCTCTCTCTGTGTTCTCAGAATAAAGGCCGCTTTTTATTTTATACTTCTCATCTTTTGGAAATAATTCTAGCAGATACAACTCAGCATAAAGACTACAGGTCCCAAGTACTGTCCCCCATCAGTAATGCTGCCACCACCAACCTCACCACCATCTCCACCCTGTCACCTACTAGGGTGACACGTGGCTCCCACCTGTCGTGCATGGGACACCTAACCCCAAACCCTGTGGAAGGGGGGTATGAGGGGTGGGATCTCTGGGAGATGACTGGGAGCTGTCATCTCCTCACCTGTCTGGAAGATTCTGGGGTGGGTTCTTCCACTGGGCCAAGACTTAAATTCGAGAGTCTGGCAGGAGCCCTGTTTTCTCCTGATTCTCTTTTACTTTCTTAGAAATTAACCCATCGTTTGCTTCAAAGAAAAGCAAAAGAAATAATTTTTTCTGGCACATTTTTTTTAGTCATATAAATAGACCGTAAACACATTTTCTCTGTCTAAAAATTCTGTGGAAGACCAAAATAGGCCGCCTCAAAATATGCTTCTTTGGCTTATTTCAAGATGGCTATTCAGAGAAACTGCAGACATGGAAACAGCTCCAAGCAACTATCCTTTGTCAAAGAAATCTGCAAACTTCTCCAATAGCCACAAGCCTAGGACTCGTGTTGGGGTCCCTCACTTCCTGTCTGCACCTAGGACAGGTCAGAGGACACCGCACCCAGAGAAACATCAGCACAGCTATCACTTAGGTTTTATTCTGATTTTGTTTTTCTCTTTGAGGTAGGGTCTTGCTATGTAGCCCAGGTTGGTGCTGAAGTAGCAGTGATCCTCCTGTCTCAGCCTCCCAAGTGCTGGGGTTACAGGGGTGCACCCCACGGTCCTGTCCCTATGCCTGTGTTCCTAGACAGCTGCTCACAGGTGGAGCAGCCTGAAAATCTGCATTTCTCAGTTTCAGACCAGCAGCCACACTACAGCTCCAAAAGCTCAGCTCCATTCCCACCTGGCGAGGCCTGAGCCCCAGCAATCACCTTGGGGCGCTGGCTTTGTACCTACTCAGCAGGGCGCTCCTTTGTTTTCAAGCTGTGTTCTGGCTCCTAACCAGGAAGTCCGCGTATCTTTTCAGGGACACATAGCATATTCCTCATTCACCTGGCGAGCACAGACTTTTTTTTTAAAATAACTTTTCCCAGTTTAGAAACTGAATTGGGTTGGGCGTGATGGGAGGCCCGAGGCAGGAGGATTCCAAGCCTCGCCTATAATTCCAGTGCTCAGGAGGCTGAGGCAGGAAGATCACCAGGAGTTTGAAGCCAGCCTGAACTACACATCGAGACCCTGTATCAACAAAACAAAAAACTGAACTAACCAAACAAAGAAAAAAAAACAAACTTGGGTTGCGCTAACTTATTTTTAAAAATATATACTAATGAGTTTTTTTTAAAGCCTATTAACTCTCTACCCCAAATATTTATTCTTATGCTGCTTTTACTTGTTTCAATTACTATTTTAAGCATTTTTTTTTAAAACTGCGTTTTACTTCTTAGTTCAGTTAGCCTTGGATTTATTGCAATCCTCCTGCCTCAGCTTCCAGAGTGCTGGATTGTGTGTGCCACTGTCCCTGCTAGTTTGTCTTTTTTAACTTTACTCAAAACACTTAAAAAAAAAAATCTATGCTTAATGGGTAACATGCCCTTTGCCCCTGCCTGGTCATCCACAGGTGTCAGATGAAAGGGTTTTGGCCCAGACAGGACACTGTAGCCAGGAAAACCTCAACCAGAAGCAGGAAGCCCCATCTCCCCCGCCCCTAGGAAGTTACCTGTGACGCCATCTTCCCGCCCCTGGAAATTTACATATGGCACCAAACCTAGGACCAATGGGCTACCAGTACATCCCTAATGCCCGCCTAAGGTTCCACCCCAAACCGAGGCTATTTACATGCCCCCACACCACGTGTCCACCGGAGAGATCACCGGAGGCCAGCGGTGGGGGTGCCGGTCATCTCTCTCCGTGTTCTCAGAATAAAGGCCGCTTTTTATTTTATACTTCTCATCTTTTGGAAATATTTTTCATCTTTTAGAAATAATCCTAGCATCAGGGAGGGACACCTGCATCTTGGTCCTCCTGGGGGAAAGAACATTAATAATTTAGAGGCAGGCATGCAACACGTGCCAGCACTAGGGAAGCTGAGGCAGGAGCATCTGGAGGAGTCCAAGCCCAGCCTCAAATAACGAAACTGTCTCAAAAGACCAAAACTAAATAAATATTCAAATAAATAAAAAAAGCTGGGGAAGTGGCTCAGTGCAAAGATCCCAGGTACGATCTCCAATATGCCAATAAAGATTTAGGCTGGGGAGGTGGCACAAGTCTGGAATCTCATGGAGACCAATCTGGACAATTTAGTGACAGCTTGTCTCGGGAAAACAAGACAAAACAAAACTTAAGGGGCCTGACTTGCAAATGCATGGTCGTGAGTTTGATCCCGGGTATCAAAAAAACCCAAAACACAAACACAAAAAAAGCTTAGCACTTCATATTTCTCTTTTCTTTCAGCAGCTGATGAGAAAAATTAATAGGTTACAGGGCTTGCTTTCTTTATCACCTAGTGAAAAAGCAGTTTGGCTGGGGGGTATAGAATCCAGCCCTGAGCAGCACCTTTCCGGAAAGGGCAGGACCCCACTCCAGCCCAGGAACACGGGGTACGGGCAGTGACCCCTCTTCCTTCTGAGCCTTGGGGACAGTGGCTAATCACTCCTCTCCCTGTTTCGGGGGTCGAACCTTTCTAACCCCAAGTCGCCTTACCTGGGGCCGCGGGCGGAGGCCAGGGGACAGCTGCTGGTCAAACAGCCTCTGCAGAGACTCCAGCGACGGGAGGGTCCGCACCACTTCCCTGGAGCCGGGGACAAGGCAGAGAGGGAGGGTTACTGGGAACCAGGCACACATCGCAGGACAAGCCCGGGCAAAGATCAACAGGCTACCCACCCCAGCCCACCCTCCTGGGGAGCCCCCAGGAACCCCCAGGAACCCCCATCCACATCCAGCCGGAGTCGTGAGGTGTGGGGCTGCATTTACTTTAGCTTTGTGGACCCACAAGACTGGAGAAGAGGCACAGCTAGGGTCACGAAACTATTCCAAAATCATTTAGGACTCTGTGGTTCTTGGCCTTTTTAGAGTTTATAGGAGTCTCACACACAGCCCCAGGTAAAAATGCAAATTTCTGGGCTACCACCTGATTTGGTCTGGAATCTGCATTTTAAACTGGAAAGCTTCCCAGAGCAGGTGGGGGTGGAGTCCCATGCAAATCCCTTGGGACAAGGGCTCTGTCCATTCTTTGTTCCCTGCTCATCTCTTTCTATTGTTCCCAAGTGGTCTAAAGCAGGGTAGCCGAGACAGTTTTGAGTTTGATTTCACCCATATTTTTTTATCTTTGAGACAGGGTCTCACCATGGGCCTGGAACTCATGGGGAACCTCTTGCCTCAGCCTCCCAGGAGCTGGGATTACAGATGTATACCATCATGCCTAGTGATTTCACTTTTATTATTTCATCAAAACCTATTTGTGTGTGCACAGATTTATCATTCTAATAACTTCAACAGCTTTTTGAGCAGATGAGCGAACATTGATTGTTAGATATCTGGCTTACTTTGAGGATCTTTTCCTACTATAATTAAAAGCTGCTCTGTTTGGTGTGTGTGTGTTTTGTTTTGAATTTTTTTCAGACCAAGTTTCACTATTTGGTTCAGGCTGGCCTGGAATCCACAATGATCCTCCTGCCTCAGCCTCCCAAGTGCTGGGATTACAGGGATGCACCACTGGACCGGGACAGCACAGTCCATATAGCTCTTCTTTTTTTATTCCCAGTTAGGAAATTTGGAGGCCCAGAGACAAACCCTTGAGCCATGGTGCCATGCACTGGGCTGCTGGCACCCTTCACACCTGCTGGTCCCGTATCTTGTCTGCATCTCTTTTTTTTGCTATTTTCACTATTTTGCTATTTTTAAAATGTGCATAATACTGCTCTTCAACATTGATGAATACAAGAAACCAAAAAGTTGGTTTTTCAAAATGATGGGGAGGGAAAGGGGAAATAAAAAAAAGCATTAATGAATACAGCATGTGGAAGCCCTGGGTTGGTGCCCAGTGTGACACACACGCACATACACATGCACACAAGAATGGATTAAAATATCTTTAATCCCCAATGCCCCTTGATTTCTGATAGATGTTTACTGTATTTCTCTTTGTATTAACTGTGTGGCAGCTTTGTTAGTTTTTGTTTTTTTTTTAAAACATGATCTCACTGGCCAGGGGTTTAGCTCACTGGAACAAGCACTTGCTTGGCAAGTGCAATGTTGTGAGTGTGATCTCCGGTACAAAAAAACAAAAAAAGAGTATGTTTTACATGTATATATGGGATTTTTTTGGTGATGCATGTGTTTAATTCCCTAATCCATCTGGAGTTTTTTCTTTTTTGTTTTTGTTTTGAGTCAGTCTTGCTACAGCAGCCCAGGCTGCCCTTGGACTCGCAGCAATTCTCCTGCCTCAGCGGAGTGCTGGGATTACAGGCCTGACCCTCGCTGCTTTCTTGAAGTTGGTGTAGAACTGAGTTCATTTTCCTCTGCATCACATAATACGCCCCTTCCCTATAGCTCTCTGGGGTTCGTTCACTTTCTGAGCTCTGTTTCATTCATTCAGCTTGAAACCTGTCCTAGGCAACGTCATACGCGAGGATCTGCAACCTGAGAGTTTCCAGGGTGCCGCGGTTCACCGGGCTGCGGCATCGCATCGCGCCGGCGGTGGAGTGCAGCTCAGCGGTACAGTGTGGCTGCCTGCAGCAGGCCCGGGTTACACCCCCAGCGCTGGGGGAGAGGGGCGCTGGATCGGGATGGGGACAGGGAGGGGAAGGAGGATTCTACCCCGGACCCTGAAATCCCGGATGCAGCGAGGTGGGGATAGGAGGCCTGGGAGGGGCGGCCGCCAGGTCCGGGTTCTGCCCTCCCGAAGCTGCTTAGTCCCTCTGCGGGAGTCATCATTTTATAGGAGAATTCCAGGCCCCAGGGTTTTCTATAGCACTAAACTCCAGGACCTTTTAAGAGTAAATACAACTCCCTGCATTGCTTTCTTTTTTCAAAATGTCATGCAAAGAGCACAAATACAAATTCAGTCTTTAGGATTTTCTATGAGAAGGCTGGTTTCCCCTGTACTACTGTTTTGTGTGTGTGTGTGTGTGTGTGTGTGTGTGTTTCCATGCTGACAAACTGCTGAGTTGCCCAAACTGGCTTTGAATTTGTGACCCTCCTGCCTCAGCCCCAGAGTGCTAGGATTATAGGCATGCACCACCATACCCCACTTCCTTCATTTTGTATTTTATTTATTTATTTATTTTTGTTTTTTGAGAGAGAACTTCACTATGCAGCTCACGGTAGCCTTGAGCCAACTGTGTGGCGGGGACTGGCCTCTAAGTCATACTGATCCTTCCACCTCAGCCTCCCGAGTGCTGGAGGAGGCAAATTTTGCCAGAATAGGGCTCAGCTGATGCCCCATGACATGTTTATTAAACGGTGAATAAATAAATTAGTGAGCCCCTGTTCTAACCCAAGCCATTTGAACACTGTTAAAGTTAAGAGTTCAGTAAGTGAGACAGGGAACAGCTAGCAGCTGAGGGGAGTGTCTCACAATGGCACCGTGGACCAGCGAGGTAGAAAGTTGGGGGGACTTGGGGTCACTGTAGTGATCAAATGACCAAGATGCCAGAGAAATCTAGGCAGCAGCTTGGTACCTGGGAAAAGCTGCCAGAAGATGGAAGTGTAGATTTAAAATGTGTGTCTACTTTTGCAAGGTATTAGAGGTTCAATGAAATGGAAATGAAAGGCTTGTTATCCGTCATGTGAATGATGTTTGTTTGTTTTTTAAGCAAGTACCCATTGTATACATCCCTCCCCCTTATCACTAGCATCCAACAGAACAAAATATATGGCAGAAATCCGATGGTTCTGGGGTCCGACTGGCTGTGAGATGGCGTGAATCGAAAGCTATTTCTTTCAAAGTAAGCCTGTCTGGCCAATTTGATGACTGCTCACTTTATCAAAGACATTACTTGTCAGATTTACCAACTGTACTGACTGTGCTTTTACCAGCCTTTGAGGAGAAAGCTGCATGTGATTACTGATGATGAAAAATTCTCCTCTGCATATTAACTAAACTAAGAAAGATGGACACCAGAGAAATGGAAACCATGCAAAGCTGTGTAGGCTGAAGAGCTCTGCCCGTTATTTTTCCAGCCCAAATGCTGACCTTTCATCATGGTGGGTTTATTTTGGCTCCCTGCGATTTCTGTCAGAGGCTCTGGAATGTAATCACACACACACACACACACACACACACACACACACACGCCAGCTATCGGTGTTTAACACGTCAGCCTTTTGCACTTCCAGAAAACTGTAATTAAAAGCTTGAAATTCGGGGGCTGGGGATTTAGCTCAGTGACATAAGCACCTGCCTTGCAAGCAAGCAGTCGTGAGTTCGATCCCTGGTACCAGAAAAAAGACAAAAGAAAACAAAAAAAGCTTGAAATTTATCTCAAGGTTAATAATGAAATGAAAAACAGAAAATCAAAAGAATCTTGGAGGGGGGGATTTTTTTTTTAAATTTTTGCCATTGGTGATTCAGTGATTTCAGCCAAGTTTTGGTGAATCAGCTCACTTGGAAGAAAAAAAAAACTGCTGTCCCTGGAAACCTCAGGCTGATGCCACCTACGCAGGAAGCAGCTTGGCCGATTTTCTTCCTCAGGGTGGACACGCCTGCCCTGGAGCAAAGGAGAGCAGCTGAGGAAGTCTATAAAGGGCCGGATCCTGGGCAGCGGGCACTGTCCTTCCGCCTTTCTTCCTTTGCCTGGGCAGCTGGACTTAATTAACTCGAGTTTCCAAACAAAACAGGCTGTAGACTGCTTGCCTAGCAAGCAGCAGGTCCTGGGTTCCACCCCAGCACACTGAACACACACACACACACACACACACACACACACACACACACACACACACACACGTGGGGCTTCACTCTGCTGACTGCTGTCTCTCTCTCTCTCTTTTTTTTGCTGTACTAAGGGTTGAACCCAGGGTCTTTGCATTGAGCCACATCCCCAGCCTTTTCTATGTTTTACTTTAAGACAAGCAGGGTCTGGCTAAATTGTTGAGTTGCCCAGTTGTCTTCAAATTCTTGGTCCTCCTGCCTCAGCCTCCCCGGGAGTTTCAGGTGTGTGTCTGGTCACCTGGCTGACAGCCACACCCCTTGGCCCTCCGCCCTCTTGGGGCCCGCGCCTTACCCATGGAGCTCCTTGCAGAGCTGTGATATCAGCTTCTTCAGGCTGGGGAGGCTGCTGGATCCCGTCTTTGCAAACTCAGAGTCCAGGGCAAGCTGAGTGCCCAAGTACTCCTGGATGGCTCGAAGGTGCTCTTCTGGGAGTCTACAGAGGAAAGCAGGAAAGTAAACACCGCCTTTCCTGTTCCCCTCGGCCACCAGCAGTCACGCAAGCACAAGCACAGATGGTGGACCCTCAGGGAAGCCGTCCTCTAGGAGAACACCTGCACACCACAGGACAGTCCCCTTGGTCTCACTGTAGGGATAGAGACTGGGTCACAGCAAGACAGAGGGGTCCTGCAGGGGCACTGCACTGACGGGTCCGGGGGTCACTCCAGGCTCTGTGGGGAAGTCTATGTGACAAGCGGTGGGACGGGAAGTGGCTGTCCAGGTGCCCAGTGGGCCAGGTGTCATCTAGTGGCCTACCCTGACCTGGCCCAGTCCCTTCAGTTTACAAGGTAAATGGAAAGATAGGCAGGATTTGCCACCAAAGGCAGAACCCAGGCAAGGTCCCGCTGAGGACTGTCACTGAAGGTCAGGATCAGATTTCTACACTGTATCTCCCAGCACTTTTTAGTTGATTTGATTGATTGATTGATTTTTGTGGTGCCAGGGGTCGAGCCCAAGATCTTCACACTGAGCTACATCGTCAGTCCTTTTTTAAAAAAATGTTGAGATAGAATCTTGCTAAATTGCCCAGGCTGGGTTCGAACTTGTGATCCTCCTGCCTCAGCCTCCCAGAGTACTGGGATTACAGGTACCCACCACCAGGCCCAGTTTCCCAGCATATTTTATTATGGGTCACTTGTGAGTCTTAGTTCCCATGGTAATAGCAAATATTCCAGACCATAACATACCAGATCCTTATTGCTAATTTTCTTCTATAACCCACAAGATTGTGTGACACTTACTGCTGTTTTACAAATGAGGAACCTGAGACTCACATATGTTAATTACCTGGGGGATAAATTACAGGAAGTTTCAGCTTTTGTACAAAATTACATTGAAACAAAGGTCTTGTGGGTCTTTCTGTAGGGTGAAGAATGAAAGCTTGTTTCTCTGCAGAAGGAACAGAGAGGGATTAGCCATTCTGTCCCTGGGAACCAGGGGGAGAATTAGAAAATGGTTCCACATCATTGCCCTAACACCTAACTGACAGCTGTGTATTCTGGGTCTGAACATTCCAAAAATTCAGTTCTTATTTTTCCTACAATATTAAAATAGGTATCATGGGGCCTGGTAGCACACACCTGTAATCTCAGCACTCAGGAGGCTGAGATAGGAGGATCGTTCACACCAAACTTACATTCGAAGCTAGCCTGAACTATACAGTGTGTTCATGCTTAGATTTTTTTTCCCATAAAGATGATGGCCAAAGGGTTAATATATGAGGTACAATCAAAATATATGGTGAGAGTTTAAGTTTTAAAATGTATTATGGTAAAAGACACATTGCCACGAATCCCCCTCATTTTAAACACATTCATTCCGCTTCAATCCACTATGTAAAAGAAAATTGTACAACTCCAGAGGTGATAATCGGGGCTACAGACAAATTGGTTTTTAGCCTCGCAATGAATGAAATATCCAGAAATATCCAGAAATGCATGCAAATGTGGCTTGCCACCACTTCTCAGGCTGAAGGCCAACCGCTATCTAGTGTGTGGGCCCAGGGTAACTGGTGCTTGGCTCCAGGCTGGCCTCAGAGGGCACCTGCCAGTCAGGGACTCACCCGCTGGTGTCCATGGTCTGCAGCCGCTGAAATAGTGTCTCGGAGAGGCTGGGCCGGCTGGCTTCGGGGGCACGGGGGTTCTCAGCTGGCCCCAGAAGCTCCTTGGTCTCGCAGGGCCCCGTAGAGAGAGGGATGTTCCTGGGGGGCAGCTCAGGTGGAGATGCCACACTTTCTACCCAAAAGAACAGCAGGGAGCCACTGGTGAGGTGCTTGCTCCAGCCAGGCGTCACCCCGCCCCCTACACTCCACCACAGGTCCGGACTCCGCCTGTGTCCATCTCCTCTCCCCAAGCCACTTCCTCTCAGACTCTGGCCGGCTGGCTGGAAGCCCCTGCGTGCAGACCTGTGTCTCCCAACCCTTGTGCCTGGGACCATTGTGGGGTTTTGTAAATGCCAGTTAGGGTCAGTGGCCCTGCTGAGCACAGGCAGGGTGGCCTCAGGGTTGTGGGCCTTGGACAGACAGAGCCAGGATGGGCCTCCTGGGGCCACAGCCTATGAGGGAGGCTGGGGCAGGAGGGCAGGAGGTCTGGCCAATTGCTTCTCTATCACTTAGCTCTTCGATCTCTTTGCACCTTCTCTCCAGCCTCTGCCCTCCTTCTCTCTTCCTGCAGAGCCTGACAGACAAATTTTTAAAAGTGAGTGAGCCACCCCTCGGATTATTTGTTTAATCCCAGCACCTATGAGGCTGAGGCAGGAAATGTGAAACCATCCTGGGCTACACCACAAGTTCAAGGCCAGCCTGTAACAAACACATAGTGAGACCCTGACTCAAACAAACCAAACTCAACCTGACAGATGGGACCCTGCCTGCCTCCTTTAGAATTGTCTTTTCTGCATGTCCCACAAACAGGCAAAGGTCACTTCCTGCCCATGCTTGTTCTCACATCAGTGGCCAGCACAGCCCATAGCCTCAGCACTGTCTGGGGACTTTCTCTGTTTGGTGGACATGCATTTCACTTCCTCTCCCACTCTGGGTCCTGGAGATGGCTATGAGAGTTTGAGGCCCCAAAGACTGGGCTGACCTGAGTCGAGTCAGACACCTTGCACCCAGAGGACCCAACGTCTGGCTGCCCAGACTTCTTTGGGGAAGTGAAGCTGGCAGTCACAAGACTGGGGCTCTTTCCGTCACTGGCCCTCACAGGAAGCATGTCTGTCGGATCTGTCTCCGGACAGCACTCTGAGGGTCACAGCAAGCTGCAGGGGGGTGCCCCAGGCAGACTAGGATGGTGATGCATGGAAGGCATTGCTGAGGGACGGCTTCTCAAGGTCAAGGCCAAGGCTGCTGTATGGTCCTAAGTCCCTGAGCACAACTGGGCACCACCTTGGCAAGTGACTGCAGACTCACACAAGCCTGTCCCTGAAGGCACCTCTGCCTCCAGCCTGTGAGCTCCACCTGGGGCTCCTTCCAGCCCTGTGGAACTTGGCCCGGTGACTGGGGAGGCAGCTATCAGTCTGTCCCTAAGGAGTCCAAGGAGGGATGGAAAAGGGGGCTGGTGACCCACAAACCAGCCCACAGGAGAGGACAGAGAGAGCCCTGTGGGGGGCTGGCAGCTGTCACCAGGGATGGATGGGCAGGCAGGAGCTGGCCAGGGAGCTTAGTGTTTCAGGTCTCCTTTCCTCTGGGCTGCCTGCCAGAACAGCAGAGGGGCAAAGGAGGCGTCTTGTGTTTCCTTTTAGGAAACGAACCTCTGAGAGGGGAGGAGGCGCCCTGCAGGTGAGCATGCCTTCTGCAACTTTCTCTCCATGACTCACTTCCGTGGTCACTGAGCCCAGGCCTGTGTCTCAGACACTTCAGGGGCTTTTTCTTCTTCTGCTTTTCAGTACTGGGGATCAAGCCCAAGACCTTCACACTGGGCTCCCTCCCCAGCCTTTTATTTATTTTTAGATTTTGATCTAAACAGGGTTTTGTTAAGTTGCCCACACTGAGTTTCAACTTGCAGTCTTCCTGCCTCAGCTTCCCAGAGTGCTGGGCTTCCAGGTGTGCCACCATGCTGAACTTTCTTTTCAATGTATTTTTTTAGGAGCTGTACCTTTCCCCCTCTCTTTTAGTAGTGGTATGAGCAAACATCTTTCACCCTTCCCTTTGGGTCCAAGGTTTTGCTCTCCCCTGTCCCCATGGTGAGACTAATGGTGAAAATGTGGGAACCGTATTTTATTGAGTGCTTACTATATACCAGGTGTGGGGCACTACCTTTGTTGGTTCATTTGACCCTTGTGACACCCTAAGAGGTAGAGGCCATGCTGCTTTTATTGTCTATAAAAAGAGTTGTGATTCAGAGAGGCTAAGACACTCATCAAGGTCACAAAGTTGGCAAGCCAGCCCTCGTCCGCCTGCATCCCGTCAGAGCCTGTACTCCTAACTGGTCCTCCACCACCAGGCCACACTGCCCTTCTCTGACAATAGGACCCTCTCATCTACAAGCACTCATGCATGGAGGACCAGGTCCCAAACGCACTTCTGACATCCCGCCTGCCTCCCTCCCTTCCCTCTTACCTGTGTCCTCCTCGGGGTCGTCACCGGCATCCTCCTCCTCCAGTGGCACGGGGTACTGCAGGTGGGTCACCAGCCCCATGTTCTCCTTCTTGTAGAACTCGATAAGCTGGTCCAGCTTAGTGAAGTACCTGACCGGGACACCTTCTGATGCCTGCCGACAGAGCCCCGAGCAGAAGGACATGTTAACTGCCCAGATGTCACCCACCCAAAAGGCCACCTGCAGCAGGGACTGGCCAGCCCGCGATCCAGAAAAAGCCTCAGGCTCTGGCACCCACATCCCACATCCTGTGGCCAGCAGCTCTTCAAGGGCCCTTCTGCAAAACGAGCCAGCAGAGTGGTTTCAAAGATAGGATTTATTCTTTCAGTCTTTGCTACACAGAACAGGACATTTTTCATTACAGCAAAATTAGGAAATACAGATAAAAAAGGAAATCACCAGTAGTCCCACAACTCTAAGAAACCTATTTTCAGTGGATTAGATTTTTCTGGACCCTGCATATGTGTTTGATGGGGAGTTATTTTTGTTTTTTTCCTTGCAAAGATCATTTTTATCTTTTTTTGGGGGAAAGGGCTGGGAATCAAACTCAAGACCTTCCACTTGCCAGGCAGGTGCCTATACCACTGACCTATATCTCTGGTCCTACAAAAATCATTTGTTAAAAAGCACTTATTATTTTTATTTATTTATTTTTGTGGTATTGGGGATTGAACCCAGAGCCTTGTGCAGGCAAAGTGGACTATTTACCCCTGAGCTATGCCCAAACCCCAAGATCGTTTATTTATTTTTTTTTTAACTTATTTATCTTGCAGAGCTGGAGCTGGAACCCACGACCTTGCACATGCCAGGTGAGTGCTCTACCAACGAGTTATACCCCTTGGCCCAGATCACTGATTTTAAAATGTATTCCTACAATTTTATTTTTTATGTGTTGTAATTCACTTTTTCTCAAAACAAAAATTCTCCGAAAATGGTATTGGCAACATGGAAATCTTCCCTGGTTTGTATCTCGGCTGTTGATGCTAGAGGTAATTCTGCTCAGCTGTCCCTAACGCTGGGGGGAGCAGGTGTTCTAGCTCTGAAGATGTTAGCTCCAACCCCACTGAGCCCCGCCCACCCCCAGAGCCCCCCAACTAGACCCCACCCACAGTGCCTCTTCCATTAAGCCCCACCCTCTAGGAGGCCACGCCCTCTAATAAAGCCACGCCCCTCGTGCCCCACCCCTAACTGGCTGCTGGTCCAAAGCCAAGAGATGCAGCAGTCCCTAGGTAAAGGAATGGACACCAAAGTGCTCCTCTTCCAGGAATACAACCACTAAGTGCCTGCAACTTCGGGGACCGGGGTCCAACTGCTTCCTAAAATGCCACCAGCTGTCTTTCTGCTGAAAGCAGTGGCTCATGGGAAACAGCCCCTGTTGCTGTCAGCTTGAGTCATGAACCTGTGAGGAAGGGCCGAGCTGGCAGGAAGGTGCAGGACTGCAGGTGGAGGGGCAGAGCACATCCAGGGTCCGAGTCTGTGCCTGGCCCTTGCTCCAGGGGGTGAAATCCAAGCCGAGGACACCAGCACCTCTATCATCCATCCACTGGGGTCTCCTCAGTGTGGCCCGGGGTTTCCCGACCCTTCCACCTCCCCTCATTTCATTTCTTGGTTACCCTTTCTGTCTGTCTGTCTTTCTGCCCAGGTATAGCTGTGTGGCCATGTGCACACATGTAAATCTGTGCATGGGAATGTGTGTGTGTGTGGTGCATTGTGTGGTTTAAACTGTTTGGTGAATTTCTATGGTGGTTAATGAAGCGGTTCGTGTATTTATTTTTCAATAAATCCCCTTGCTCTCATTAAGCCGCACACTGAGGACTTTCTTTCAAGCTCTGTTACACTGACAATATCTGAGCATCGGCAAAGCAGCACGCCACCGGTGCCTTCTAAGTACTGCAAGAAGGTTCAAAACCAAACCGGGAAAGAATAACAAGAGTAATGTGACATAAAGACGGAAGATCTGTGACCTCCCGGCAGAGCCATCCTGGGTAAATATCGCCCTGTCACACACAAACGCACAGCTCGGGGTGACACGCCGGTAGCCGAGCAGAAGAAGGAGGTGAAAACGCAAAGAAAGTCGAAGCGGAGGGGCACGTGTGGGAATCCGGGAAGGAGGAGGTTGGAGGATCACAGGGGTTTTGGGGATTTAAAAAGCGCTGACACTGAGATTACACGTATGTGCGTGCCATTAAAAAACCGAAACTCAAACCGTGCTATGCTATATATCGATTGTAGACACGAAATGTGAAAAAATAAACAACTGACAATTGATGATAAGCAGAGGCTCCGGACCAATCTAAAAAGAATCCCTGTGGGGTGGGTGGGGGCTTGTGAGTGCTTCCTTCTGATTGGCCAGGGAACCAGGGAGTGGGGCTGCTCCTCTCTGGGGGGCGGGGAGGGGGCTCAGGTTTTCAGAAAGGCAGAGGATGCAAGGCAGAGTTCTAATCTCAAAGGTGGAGGAGCTGCCTGACCATGGTGATGCACACCTGTGATCCCTGCATCGAGGAGGCTGAGGTAGGAGGATGGCTGTGAGTTCAAGGCCAGCCTGGACTATATAGTGAGACTCTTGTCTCAAACAAACCAACAAAAAAGATGGAGGAGTAGCCTGTCTGGGTGGACAGGGAGATGAGTTAATAGCGGCTGCTTTTGGGCATTGCTGGGAAGAAAGTGTCCCTCCAGGCTCCATTCTTGTGGGGCACTGTGGGTTTGGGATGTCCCCTCCCCCACTTGTGTGTTACATACTTATTCCCTGCCTTCCTGTATCAGTGGGATTTGGTGGGGCCTTGGGAAATGATCAGGATTCAGAGAGGTTTTGAGTCGAAGAACTGGGCCCCTTGCTCCGTCTGCCATGTGCCCCCCTGTGCTATGTTAGGGTACCCAGGTGCCCAGGTGCCCAGGCTGGCCTTGAATTTTCAGCAATCCTCATGCCTCAGCCTCCAGGGTACTGGGATTACAGGCATGCACCAGCACCCCCAGCTCCTCCTCTCTCTGTAGCAGTGATCTAGGGCATATCACAGGCCACTCAAGAAGGCCCTCACCAGATGTCCAAGGGCTCCCCAGCTCTAGAACGGGCAGCCCTGCAAACTCTATTCTTCATAAATCATTCTGCCTGTGGTGTTCCGTTACAGTGACAGCCAGCAGATGAAGGACAGCACCAGAGAAGGACCTGTGTCCTCCTGCAGAGAGCAGATCCCCAGCTGGCTGAGCCTCTCAGCAGGAAGCCTGTCTTTGCAGGTGAGCAGCAGGAAGCAGCTGTTTCCACAGGCAGAAGAAGAGGGAACACCAACAATTTTACTCTATTTGAGGTGGGGGTTTGGGACAGAGTCTTACTATGTAACTCAGGCTAGTCCCGAGGGCTGGGATTGCAGATGTGCAATTTCTAGGCTATGGAACATTCCAGGTGATTCTCAGAAAGATCACATCTATGAAGCCACTGCAGACAGTGCTCCACGGAGCCAAGTTTAGCAATGGCACTGCCAGCTCCAACCATTTGAAGATGTGAATCATGGACAAGAAGGCAGTCACATGTGTTAGTCGGAGTCCCAGCTGGAAGTGGGTATCACTAAAGCAGGGAGTGCAGGGAGAGTGTTGTGGGCACTTGGGGTGGTACAGTACCCAGAAAGTGCACAGGGAGGGATGAGCAGCTGGAGGTGAGGCTCCCAAGGGTGCCATGGACACAGGGTATCCCTGGGAGTGAGCCAGGGCAGTGGGTCCCCTCCTCTCCCCTTCCTCCTGGCCTCCTTTACCAGACTAGGGCTTCCCCAGCCAAATAGGAAGCCCAGGGGCAGGGAACCACCTGGGCTGGAATGCTTGTGCATCGAGGCCAGGGAACACCGAGTGTCTGTCTGCGTGGAGCCCTGGGCTGAGTTCAGGAGACCCCCTACCCTCCAGCGAAGGGGCAGCCCCAGATTCCTAACCCTAGGCCACCAGACTCGGTTCCTCATTCTGAAGCAAAGATCTTCCTGAAAATAGTTATCAAGTCATCTCAAAATAGACAAGGAGCCCAGAAGGCCGCCTGAGATGTGTGCTGCTAACGTGATCCCCAAAACGTTACTGACGCTCCCCAGGGTGACCGCCGACAGGGGTTTTCTGCCCTGTAGCAACTGTCCCACTTACCAGCGACCAATTCCTTCCCTCTATTTCCTGGGCCTCCTTGTGTCACTCAGGCTGGCCTTGGACTCATCGTGGAGCCCAAGTGCCCAGGCTGGCCTTGAATTTTCAGCAATCCTCATGCCTCAGCCTCCAGGATACTGGGATTACAGGCATGCACCAGCACCCCCAGCTCCTCCTCTCTCTGTAGCAGTGATCTAGGGCATATCACAGGCCGCTCAATATTGAAGAAGCAACAGCGTTTCCCACATCAAGCTTGTTAACTCGGGACACCCCTGGGCAGAGCAGACCTAGGGCTTCCTGGATCAATAGAGTGGACTGGAAGCACCATTCAGAAATGAAAGCCACTCTGAAGGAAAGGACATAGGAGTTTAGTTCTGACTGTCAAACAAAACTCCCTTCTCTTTGCCTGCCTCCCATTAACATCTCCAGGTTATGGAAAATTCCAGATGATTTTCAGGAAGATCTCGTCTACAAGGCCCCTGCAGACAGTGCTTCTCAGAGCCCAGTTTAGCATCAGCAGCTCATTCTGCCTCAGGGTGTTAGTTTCTGGGGCTGCTTCCCCTGCAAGTTTCATGGGAAAAGGTATGAAGCCAGGGGGAGGGGCTGCCCACAGCCCCCATAGTTTAGGCAGAAAGAAGGGCGCTGGGGTCTTTTTTACTTTTTATTTATTTATTTTTTGAGGCAGGGTCTCACTATGTAATCCAGGCTGGCCTTAAACTCTCTTATGTGGCCCAGACTGGCCTCAAATTCATGGCGATCCTGCTGCCTCAGCCTCCTAAGTGCTGGGTTTGCAGGCATGCACCATCATGCCTGGCAGGCACTGGGGTCTTAAAGACAAGGCCACCTGTGTCCAGACTGCTGGAGGTCACAGCCGTGTGCTCAGAGGGATGCAGACCATTCTGGGATGCCTCACTGACACCCTGGGAGAGGGGCACAGGCCATCGAGGCCAGGCCTTGGGACAGACTGGTTTCCCAGAGGGTGATTTTTAATGATAGCACTGTCT